TCACAGTAGTCTCTCTGAGCTGCATGTGGGAAGGTTCAGTCACACTTGGTGATGAAAGGAGATAATTTAGACATTTTTAAAACATTTCCTGAGACAGTCCAATTATCAAAATATAATGACCTTTTATAGACTGTTTGGAAGATCTGTAAACCCATATTAAGGAAAACACCAAACATTTCTTGATTTTGCAAATATATAAACAGACTATGAGTCAGATTTATGAAAAGTTGTCTTCTCCACTGACATTAGCTATTTGCAAAAAAAAATTTGTAAATTATTCCTTAGTAGTCATATGGATTTTTCTTTTTGGTAAAATTTAAGCTTTTTCTTTCCTTTTACAGATGTATCAATAAGCTGTTTCCCAATTCAAGAGAAGGCTCTTGTGTGCTTCTGAAGTGTAATGGGTTGGAAACGTTATGTTAAAAGAAAACACTGTAATGAAAACTGATTATAATAGCAATCCAAGATTCAGTGTAGTGTAACACTTACAGAATCAGTCTGTTAAACCACTGTTGAAATCAACTCCAAAAATATGAGTTTTTTAACTCTGCTATAAACTACTCTTTTGATACTATAATGATCAAAACTCATCATCTTCTCAAACAAGGAGATTATACAAATTAATTTCCACTGCCTTATCACCAGTATCTTCTGTAAAAATCTGTGATGTTCTCATTAAGGTTAATATCTTCTCAGCATTTAAAAAATAACTACTTGCAGTTCTGCTTTCTGTTGAGAAAACTATGTATGTAGTTCAAAAATGCTGAAGTAATGCTTGTTTCTACTAGGAATGGCAACGGCTTTTTGGTTGGTGCTTGTACAGTTCCTAGCACTGGATAGGTTTCTGTGCCATGACATGGGAAATTTAAATGTTCCAAACGTACAAGAAATGTTACTAATACAATGACTGATAAGGAATGAAAGAAAATATTATATTCAACATTCACAAGATATTATTTTGGCCTTTAGTAGTTTTTCTGTTGCCTTAGTCCCTCATTCCTGTTCTTCATCTCAGTTTGAGTTGGCCTGTGTATGTACAGTAAAGCAGTGCACAGTTTGTACATTACTTCAAGAATCTTTAGAACAGTGCTTCTATTTACCATTGGGATTATGAACAAATCCTTTCACTTTTACATTTCACTTTAACTGAGACAATAATACATACAAATTTTTCAACCTAGTGTATTGGACCCACTGTATGTCAAATGCAGGATTGTTGTATGTTAACAGCAGAATTATAGAAGCAATATGATGTCTTTCTAAGCAAAATATGCAGGTAAATATAATAACAAGCATCAGAATTGACAAGAACGTTTCATTTTATGTAAAATACAGTATTTAGGAAACATTTTATGTTGCAGCCATGTACATAGCGTTTTTCAATCATTACCTGAAAGGCAATTATTAAAATGATTTCATGGATTTGCTAAATATAATGATGTTTGGTAAAAAAAAAATAATTATTTTAAAAAGGTTCAAAACTGTCTTTGTCTTCAGACATAGTCAAATAATTTTACAAATGAAAATAACCACATATTTTTAAATTAATTAATTGCAACTAAAATATTATTTCAAATTGTGTAGCCATTCCATATTACTTATAGAATATACAGAATATATAGGTATTATTCAAAAGGCAGTATCCTACCTATGGCAAATTTACTGGAGCAAATGCAGAACTGTAGCTTAGTATTTAATGAAAAGAGTATACACTTGCAGACTGTACTGGTTTTGTATCTATTTATATACCAGCTCCTTTGTCCTTGACTAACATCCTCTTGTTCAATTTCAATCAAATTTGATTGTGTTGATATGAAAATAACACCTGGGTACAGGATGGAAACGGGAAGGGAAGGGAAGGGAAGGGAAGGGAAGGGAAGGGAAGGGAAGGGAAGGGAAGGGAAGGGAAGGGAAGGGAGAAGAGAGAGATTAAGTTATTTTAGTAAGTGAATGCAGGAGATGTAATGCACACTGAATAAGAAGCAAAACTTTATTAGTTTTACTGTCAAAGAAAAAAATTTAAACCAAGTAAAAATAGATTTACAAAATAAAAATAATTGAGAAGTGCATTGAGGCGATGCTGGGATAGTGATATAAATATGTTGTCATAATGATGCCAAGAAGCATATTACAATAATTCAAGAATTATAATGCAATTATATCTTAGGAAAAATATTGAGTGGGGGTTTGGTGATCTGTATGTGTAAGTAAAGAGAAAATACCTTATACTGAAAAGTCGTCTCCAAGATCACTATCTGTGCACTCAGGAATTCTGGATAAGCACCTTCATTAATTATATTTGGATAAATAACAGTTTAAAATAAACACATTTTTCTGGCTGAAGTTCATGTCACTTTTTTACTAAAAGCATAAGAAATAAACTTTTATTGGAATCTTTTGTAAGCATTTCTTAAAAAATGGTTCACCCCATTCTTTTAAAATAGTAAAAGAGAAATGAGAACAGTTCTGACTGAATAGACAGAATGAAACTTTAATTGGAGTTTCAAGATCCTGTGCATTGAAAAGAGCTCATCATCTTCAAAAGCTGGCAAAGTGTTCCTTCACCAGTCTTAGTCCTACAAACCCTACAAAACTGAATAGCCACACAAAAATTTTTTTGAATTGGCAATCTTGAGGTTCACTCGTTACCACCAAGAAGCAGAATTACCTTGTCTAAAGTAACAAACTTGCTGCATTTGGGGAAAATTGTAGAGAGTTTCAACATAAAATGTGCAATATGTACAGCTACATATTTCACCTCAAAGAAGTGTTTATTTCTTCTTAAGGTTAACAGAAACTTCAATTATTTTGGAGTCTTTTGTCTTTGATTCAGAACTGCTGCCTATTGTACGGCAAGAGGATGAAAACATGACGGAATCAGGGTCATGCACTTTACAATCTCACAAAATTCTGCCTGTTGTTTTAACTGCCATGTGCAAATAACCCAGTCTGAGGCATCTGAAAGCACTGTGAATAAAAACCACATATAGGTAAATGTTATGACTCCCATTTAACATATGGAGGGAAAGAAATATTAAGAGATTTGCAGAGAGCAAGGGACTACAGAACTGGATACAGTCCACCAGACTTCAGCAATTCAAATAAGAGAACAGAAGGAAAAGAAACACATTTTATCCAGAGAGAAAACTTCAAACTGAAGTAAAAAGTGTGGTGGTTTATTTTGTGTTTGGTTGGGTTATGTTTCGTTTGTTTGGGGAGCTTGTGTGTGAAAAGAGCTCTGTTTTCCTTATTTCCTCAGATAATTCTCCCATTTGCTTTCAAATAAAAGACTATGCAGCACATGTTCTACCACTTCTACCATATATTATAAAATCACAATTGCTATTACCTGGAATATTTTCTTGACATGGCAGGGAGTACTCATCTTGAGAAGTTTGCAATGGTCACTCTAATAGGTGCATGTGATTATATTTCACCCCAAATAAACAAAAAACTTTTACTTTTCCCATGGAAATAAGATCTTTACAGGGTGTTTTTGTCTTTTCAAACAATGGCTTATTATTTTACATTCCCCATTACTACAGGTGTTTAAAACACTGGAATTCCAGTGGTCAAAGTGCTTTATTTGTGGAGCTGTATGCAGAGGTACTGCTCAGCTATCAAACCAGAGTATTTCAAGGAGAGTATCAAATTTCATTATGTGCTCTCATTGTTTCTATTAACTATTTAAAATGTCTGTACAAAGGCATTTTCTCCTATAAACTGCAACTGCTGTATTTTCTAATTTATCATGGTAGATTTCAAAGAACATACTGCTTGGTACATGTCATAACATTACTGCAATTTCAACCTAAATAAACTGTGTATATAAAAGTATAATAAAAAAAAACTTGTATAATTTAAAATCTTATTAGCTGAAATACTGCAGTCTAAACATCCCAAAAAATTAAAGGCAAGCAAAAATAATGGAAATAACACAAATATGTTTTCTTTCTTTCAAGGCAAGTGGCTAATTTAAGCTTTTACTTTCAGTGTTAAAAAATCTGATAAAAATTCAAGTAAGTGCAAATAATTTAATGGTTCTTATTTATATAAAGTCCTGAGAATCATTATCAAGACATAAAGGAATCAATCTGTTACTAGTTTACCTTGCAATTAAATCAACTGAGTTTGAGTTAATTTACTTTATCAGAAAGTAATCTCTATTTATAAGTGAACCTTCCCTTAGAGACTATAAAACTTCTGTACCTCAACAAACAAAGTAAAAGTCAGGAGTGATTAATCTGCTCTGTTGTAGCTGACAGGTGCAATTTCAGTCTCATTACAGTATTTGACTGACAGATATGACACAAGATGCTCATCTGGATTGGCAGCAGGAACCCAGGCAAGATCTTCTGCTGTGCCCCTAATGTACCAAATACTTAGGCTGAGCTACCTGAATTACTCTATCACTTTGGCAGACTCTAAATTTGCTGCTTTATCCCATACTCCACACTTTCATCTGAAGTAATCTGTCTCACAGAGAGTATACTTGGATTCTCAATTCTCACAGATTCTTTTTCTTTTCCAGCTTTGACAAAGAAGCTGAAAACGCACAGAGGATTTTGTGGAAGTCTTTGTGAAGTGACACATCCAGTTCCTATTGGTTTTTAATCACAAAATCGTGCTTGATGTGTTCGATCTACCTTTCCTTCCCCTCATCCCCTAAGCACTTGCCACACAGAATCCAGTCTACTGCTCACTTTGCCCACAAACAGCCCAGTTACTTATTTTCCCACATTTTCCGCAGAACTCTTAAGATCCAACGAAGCATCTCTTCACAGCTCTTTAAGGTTTGAGAGTCACTTTTGCAGCCTCCTCCTGCCACACGCAGAGTCTGCACACCGCCGTTCCCGCTAGCCTGTACCGCCCAGGTAATCTGCAGCGCCTGTCCCCTCTCACCGCTTCCTCATCTCACAGGACATTAGCTCAGAGCATCTCCTGCCTGCAAAGCATGAATACTCACAGCTGGCTTCCCTAAAACATCCCAGTGTACTCACAGGGTCTGGGTGTCCTCCGGAAGGCTGGGAATAAAGTAGATGTCCCTGCAAGTGATTTTGTAATCCTCCCAGTCAGAGCACTCGCAGAAGGCTGAAGGACACCGATCTGTACCTTGGCTGCACGGCACCAGCACCACCAGCAGCAGCACCTGGAAGGCTACCGTGAGGCACAGCATCTTCCGCCGTCCGCTCCCGCTCTGCCCCCCGCTTCTCCGCGGGGACGAGGAGATCCCAGAGCTGCGCGGGCGGACCACGCTGCCCCGCCGGGAGAAACTGCCGGGGAAAGGCGGCACCTGTGCTGGACAACGCCGCCTCCTCACTAAGCGGGGTCAGGAAAGGTCTCGGCAAGCCCTGAGCGCCCTCGCCATCGGGCAGGGTCCCTCTCCTCGCCCCGGCCCCGCTCTCACCCCGCCGGCCATCCTGGACCTGGCCCCGCTCCTCCGCACGCCTCCTGCGGGGTCCCCGGGGCCCGTTCCCCGGCAGCGCCCGTCCCCCGCCGCTCCCCGCGGCCGCGCCGGTCCCGGGGCCGCGCCGCTCCCCGCGCTCCGTCCGCAGCCCGGGCTCCGGGGCCGCCTGCCGCGGGCGGCCGGGGCTGCGCGGGCCGAGCGGGCTCCCTGCCCTTCCCAGCCCAGCCCTGCCCTGCCCCGCTCTGGCCCGGCACCGGCCCGTCGAGCCGTTTTCAAAGGCAGCGGCTGAACGTCGAACCCCGACCGTTCCTCCCGGCAACTTTGCAGAAAGGAACAGGAGGAAGGGGGCTGAGTAAGAGCCATACTAACTCACCTGTGAAAGCAGTGAAGTTAAAGCAGACCTTTGCAACAAACAAATATTCACTGACCACAAGTTAGATATGCACTAAATGTAAAGCAGTTAAAGAAGCACTGAAAGTTCAAAAGAATGATTTTGAAAATGACAGGATAGAGCAAAAGAGGAGAGAGTAGCATTTCTCACATTATCAGACAAGATAAAAGCCATTCACCAAAGGAAAAAAATGGGGAGGAAAACATAACCTTGACAGAAATAAAGTGGAATTATTGTCACCTTAAGTAGGTATACAACAAGAAAAATGTCAACATAAATGTTTGTAATCTTCAGAGGAGGAAACTTGAAAATGCAACCTATGCACTGTATAAGTTAGATTTCAATATTCTTGGATAATTAGTCCCCCTCCAGCTACATTAGAATTATTCAAATGCTTTGAGTACAATACATTAGATACTATTTTGATATAACTCTTTAAAAGTACTTGAAGTCAGGTCACCAGTATGTGTTTCCTAAATGTAATGAATCCCTTCAATACATCCTTTTAAAGTAAGCAAATGATACTATGGCCATAAAGATATATAATATAAATCATGATCTTATGGGCTTATGTTAAACAGTTAGATGTTGTATAAGTGAGGAATCTCATCAGTTACAGTTAACCCATTTAGGATGGGGTATCCTTGGGACTGCCCCAGAGAGGAGTCAAGCTGAAGCACCCACAAGAGTGTCCGAGAGAATTTCACACTGCATTGCATGAATTCCCTTAGAAACACTGGCTGTCCTCTGCCCTGTTCAGTTATGTCATTCTGATACACTGCTCACATCTGTAACTCACCTGCAGCTCTAAGAGCCACCGCTCAGCACCACATTTTGGTGTCTGTACCAACCTAAATGACAGCAAAGTCACAGGCAGATCACTGAATTTCAAGGCAAATGAGCAAGAGAGATACACAGTCCACAGAGGCACAAATGAGACAAAAGTTGTGACTTAGTCTTGTCAAGTCACAAATGGGGCTCTGTAGCTGTTGACCACTTTGGTCAGTGCTAAGGGAGACAGCTCCAGCATGGTGTAAGCCAGATTGGCTTGCTCAAGGCTGCTACCAAGGTGTTCCAGGTTGCCATCTTTCAGCAGTAGTATCATGTTCTTTTCTAACCAAGAGTTAATGACACATTTCATGAAGAAGAAAGCCACAAAGCAGTACAGATTCTGAGAGTGGAAACACACCTACTTCTGTGCTGCTACCCCATCTGGTCCTATCCCACCCATCTTGTCCTCTGTGGAAATGAGACGCACCATTATACTGTTTGGCATAGCTGAGAGTCAGCAAGTATAACATTACCACATTTGCTACAACCTGCAAAGCCTACACTTGTCCAACACACTCAGGGTAACATTGCCTGGCATTCATGAGGCATAGCATGTCTTCCTGTTTTCAGAACCATACACAATATAAAAATTCTCATCCACTTATTACACCAGTCGTGGGACACAACTGTATTATTTCATATATAATCATTTGAGGTCTTACTGATCTCTGAGGGAAAATCACCAGAATGGGGCAGTGGGGCAGTCTCAGGGTTCTGTACTGTGTGCACTATTCAATCCCACTGACCTTTCCCAGATCTGGAAACACCACCTCACTGCCCAACTGTATTATAGGGAGGCTTTTGCCAGGATCTATGGGACTTGCCTTCTTTTTCCTTTTTTTAAAAATTAAATGCAGATACATCAGAGATCAAACATGCATTAAAGTTTAGTGTATTTAGGCTTGCCTTGGATCCTCTACCCAATGGGAGTAATCAGCCACTTAAACTTCACCTAACATGTTACATGTTACAAAAATCATGCCTGCCTACATTCTCCTCTGGTTCTCTGCTTCTTACTGTCAAAGTAACAGTTTGTCCCAGGGACACCTTATTAAAAATGAGAAATTAAACTCTCTTCACCTTTTTGCTTTGGCAAAGAAATATTTTGGTTGACACAGGATGGCAACAAAGCATACAAAACCATCTAGCAAAACAAATGTATCATCAAAGGAATTTCTGTAGTCTTTTGGACCTATCTCTTATCTGTCATGAGCCTATTCTACACTTGATTTCCAGATGCAGTGGGTACAAGTTATATTTGTTTCATCCAGTTGCCTGGCACTGTCCAGAGGCAGCTTGTGAGTTTCAAGTAGTGTAAAAGTAGTGTAAAATTCTTTTCCAGCTTAATCTCTGTTTTCTCACAACCAGTTTTCATGACCTAGTACGACTCAGAGCACAACAGAGGAGTTCTTTTCACAACATGACCTAGTTTGTCAGAAAAGACCACAGATGTGTATCTTGTCTCTAATTACAGTACTGCTGGAGTGATTTGTTGCAGTGTCTTGCGTGTACTCTCTGGCAGCCTGCCTCTCTCTCTCTTTTATTCCTACTTCAGAGTTACTTTTTATGTTTCATTGTGTATGGACAAAGCAAGGGAAAAACAGATTTATGGTGGGAAGATAAGTAGTCCCAAGATTTGAATAATTTCCGTTATCATAAAACAAATGCTTACTTGTCTGGTGTACTTACCTTTACCAATAGGGTAACCTACATTAGCTACTCCATCATAATTGTGTTGCAGATTCTAGAACAAGAGGAAGAGTAATTTGCTTCATTGCTGTTTCACTGAGAGCAGTATTTTGAATTACCTTTCATTTATTAGGGAAAAGGAGTGTGCACATAGATACCAGCGTCAGAAGCTTTGTCATGGCAGCAGCTCTGTGGCAGTTGTGATAGTCCAGAAAGCGTTAATGGAAGGAAAAGTATCTTCCCAGCTATTTCTAAGGGATCAAAAAAGGAAACAATAACAGATTCTATACTAAAAAAATGGCAAAGCTGACACAAAGATGTTTGGAATAGACTCTAAAATAAATAAGAACAGCTTAATACATGATTTCTGGGCTTGAACCATAAATGAGAGCAGCAAGGGACTCCTGTCACTGAAGGCCTGATAGCTTCAAAGGAAACAGGACAGAACATGTACCTTCAGCCTGGGAAGAGCTCCAGGTTTGGATGTACCTCCTTCTGTGCTTCAAGACTTGGCTTGCACATTCTGAACCACGAACATCAACAGAGTTTGGGGAGAAAAATGGCTGTTGCTAACCACATGGTGTTTCTGTGGGCACTGGCTTTGCTCAGAAAAGCTATGTTCTAAGTAAAATGATGTTTGCATTGTAGTTTCTAGCATGTTTAAGAAATTTTCTGGTTACAAGTTTGCCATCACTGTTCAGTTGCTTCCCTCTGTCAGAGCTCTCCCCTGGCCAACCTATCCACCCCAGCACCATGTACCCCCTCTGACAGCTCTGGGGCTCTGGGTCAGCACAGGCCTGAGCTATTCAAATGTTGAACTCATTCCCAGCCTGATTCCTACAGCCTGGTCTTGCTGACTGATTTTCCTGCATTTACTGAGGACCTGTGTGGAAGGTAGCATTGTTTTGTCTTTTCTCCAGTCCTATCTCCTTGGCAGAGCTTGGACCTACATTGTAGTCTTGTCTCCAGGTGTCTCTTGCTCCTCATATCTGGACCTTGGATCTATTTTCATTCCTTGCCTTGCTGTGACTGTCAATATCACCAGCCCAGTCCTTCTGAGTCCATGCTGCAGGACTGTGTCCAGTTGGCAAGGCCACTCTCAGTGCTGTGGCCACACTTGGCTCACAGCCGGCAGTCCCCTCCTAGAGCAGCCTGGCAGAGCTGAGAGCACTGATGGACCTGATTGCCACCAGCTGTGCAGCCTCTGGCAGGGCTGGTGGGATGGAATGGGCTGCCAGGCCCTGTCTGCCGCTCGAGGAGGGTCCTCTGTGGCCCCTGGTGCCTGGCCCTGAGGGCTGCTGGCCTTGCATTGCATACTCTGGCTTCTTCTAGTCAGTTCCCAGTCCTCCTGTTCAACTTTATCAAGAACAGGCCCAGTGATGGCAGAACTAAGAGTGTATTTGTAAGTCTACAGATAACCCCAGGCTAGGGAGGTCTCTGAACTCCAGGTCAGAATGTAAATTCCGAATAGAAAAACACAGGTAGCTACATGCAATAAGTCACACCCTGCATGGCAAAAATATGGGAATATGTCTACTTCATTTTGCATTTATAGAGTTGTCTGGAATACTTTATCATCAAGAAGTAGTCAAACAGGATTATTGACAGGATAGTAAAGAAAATGGGAGGTTTAGAAACATGACCTGTATTGAAGGAATGACAGAACACAGTTGCTTAGTTTAGTCAAGCCTGCAAGTGTTTTAAACTGTAAAACAGAACAATAATCAATAGTTCTGATCACAGCAGTTTTGAAAAGTGACTAGCAGCTTAGAGTGACTGGCAACTTTTCAACCTCGTAGAATATTAATAACTGTTCCTCTTTTATATACTAAAACCATTTAATGTATTAAATTGTCACCAATGAGTGTACATCCACAATTATAAATATAATCCTAAGAACAGACATGCAAAATCCTGTATACCCCAAGGCTAGAGAAATTAAGTAATTTTAATCAAAATGTCTTGTGGTCTGATTCAAATAAACAAATAGGAAAGAAAGTCACTTTTAAATCACTGTATATTTCAGATTTTTTTCCTGGTTCTTTTTCACAGACCCCTGCATGCCTCTAACAATTTAAAGACAGAAAGAGTTGACAAGCATCTTTTTTCACTATTATAGGCACTCCCTCTAGTGACAGCCAGAGTTTCTCATTTAGCACATATCCTCTCAAGCACTGCAAGGTTCTGAATTCCATAATTTTTGTGATGCTTTCTGAAAAAAAAAAATTATTATCATCTGACAGATTTGATGTGGTTTCTCACTTATCCTTTCATGGCTTATACGGTTTACACACAAATCAGATAAACAACAGGTTCTAACAAAGAAACACTTAGGTCTAATTGGTGTTCTACATAGATCATCAGGTATCAGCAGCCACATCTAGGAATATTTGCATAAGGAAATGTTTAAACTGGGAAAACAAATCAGTAAAGAGTAAATTAAAAGGCCTTGTGGGAGTTTTTTTCTGATTAATCCACATGTTTTGGCATACTAGATACTTGGAAGATTGGTGCCTTCAGGGGAAGGCAAGGTGACCTGGTTGCAAGGAACAGCACGGCAGCCCGGCCTCGCCCGGGCTACTCAGGCCAACAACACACGTTAACACCAATGTGGTGGATGGTCAAAAGGCCTTCATTATCTTATCTCGTGGGTTTAAATAGTCTCGGGGGACTTTGCTACGTCAGGGGGGGTTGGTAGGGTCTCTAGGGTTAGTGAGGAATGGAAAACTACTGGGTTAGATGTGTTTACTTGTTCTGGGAGTAATAGATAATGTGTTGCAGGGTGAGGGGGGAAGGGTCTTGCTTTCCGTCACATCCTGAAATCTTCCGTTTGCCTGTCCCTATCTACTACAGAAGATATGCCAATTACTACCTGTTCCTGTTTCTATTTCAGTATCTCAAATAATTTCTGGCATGTCAAAAAAAAAAAATACATTAGACATACTGCTTTGACACAGCATCATCCATCAAATGTTTGAACAGCTACATGAAATAATTGTATTCTACGTTCTTGAAGATTTGTGTTCATATTAAAAAAAAAGTCTTCTATTTCAAGGTAGTTTTGGAATTTTATGGTTACGGGATATTGAGGAACTCTTGTGCTGTTCCTTACCGTAAAAAAAATCCGTGAAAAACGGTGACAATTGGAATAACCAGTAGGCTGCAGAATAAAGAAGAGGTACAGCCTTATAAAGGCTGAGGCTGTTGGTTCTTAAGAGTGCTCAGAGAGAAGAGCTAGATCAAACTATCTCTTGGCCTTAAGCAATTGTTTAGGTAAGAATGATGAGAGCTGTTTTCAGGCAGGTAAATTTGTCTACAGAAAGAGTTATTGAATCACTGAGTCACAGAATCATTGAAATTGGAAGGGACCCTGGAAGCCATCTGCCCAAGCCCCTGATCAAGCAGGGTCACCTAGAGCTGGTTGCCCAGAACTGTGTTCAGTTCAAACAGCTTTTGATTATTCCAAGGATATAGATCCACAGCTTCTTCATGCACCCTGTGCCAGTGTTTGGTTGCCCTCAAAACTGAAAAGAGTTCCCTGATGATGATAGAAAGTCCTGTTCCATTTGTGCCCATTGCCTCTTGCCTTGTCAGTGGACAAGTTCCCTTCAAGTATTTATATACAAGGATGAGATCCTCCAAGCCTTCTCTTTTCCAGGCTAGACAGTCCAGCTTTCTCAGTTTTTCCTCAATGGAGAGATTAATTATCTTGGTGTCCCTCATCATGTCAGTAGCTACCTCAGCAGCCATGGGTGCATCCCAGGGCTATGCTAGCCTATGGATTTAAGTCTCTCTCTGTATATTTTTTTTCCCTCAGGCTTACATTCCCTGTGCCTCTTCATCTAAAGTCAGCTTTCTAGCCATCTATGACTTCATTCTGCTCTGTCTGCATCTATTACTTGGGCATCCAGGCTTAGAAATAACCTCTAGCGAAAATGAATTTGCCCTCATAATTCAGCCTTCAGACCTTCAGATCTTGCACTTTTCTTTGACTTGAGTCATAGCACACACTTCCTTTAATAAGGAGACCAGCATGTTTAATAGAAGAGTTTGATTGTTTATTACAACAATCATAAATAAAAAATGGCTTTTAAGCTCACTGACTTAGGTGACAATTCATCTACCATATAGTGTTTCTCCTCTTTTATGCATTTATTATAGTTGTTCATAAAATAACTCATTTTCTGAGTACCATGGAAGATAAACCTGTAGGACAGTTATTTATTTTGTGTTGGCTTTTTTTTTTTTTGATAGCCTTATGAAAGAAATAGCAAAACAATCTCCTGAAAGCTTACATGAATAATGACATGTCATGGAGGACAAATAGTATAGCATGAAAAGGCATCATTGGTGATAAACACAAAAATTAAAAAAATTAAATTTAAGCTAAAAAAAAAAATTAAAAAGTTGTAATCTTTCTGGATTTTCTACCCTTAAGGTCTGTGTCTTCTGACTCAATACACATTTATTTATATATATGTGTAATATTATTTCAGAATATTATTAGAATAATATTTCAGAATAATATTTCCTTTTTTTTTAAGGTTATAGCCAAGATCTGCATTTGTATTATATATTTGTATTAGCCAAGGGGCACAACAGCATTGGCACAACAGCATTAATTAAGCAGCACTAACCTAAAGTAGAAAGACCATGCTGGCCTCTCTAAATGCAAGCACCATCATGTTACTGTCTCAACACAGCATCTAAGATAACAGAAGGCTGGGATATATGTTTTCAAATTCATCTAATAAAATAAAAGGGTTCTGTTTTTGTAAAGTTAAACACCTTCTTTATAATTATGTCTTGTATAGAGGTTTGTTGTGCACAGTTAAATAATTTCTCATCATCCTCATTCCAAACTGAAGATATACTGTAGCAGTCTTATGCGCATATTTAACAACCTTATGACAAAAGTAAACAAACAACAAAAAAATCACAGTACTGTTTATCTTCAAAAAGAGAATTCCAAAAATATGACTCTCAAAAACTGTAGTGGGTGCATCAGTATAATCATCTGGCATTGAAGCACGCCTGCTGTATTGTGAACTTCTCAAACAGTCCTGCAGGACAGGAATGAAGGTAGACACTATAGCTTGCCAGCCACACCTTATTCCTGTGCTCAAAGGCCAATGGCCACTGCCTGGAGAGGATTCCATAGGCAATAGACATACTATGTAGCTCACTATATTTACCTCTGGCTGGAGTGCTCACCTATAGGTGATCAAATATTCTAGCGACTGTTAGCTCTGCCCGAGTTTCAGAGGCCCAGGAGACATTTCCTGTAATCGGCCACAACACTCTTTATCCCTTTTCTCTCTTCAAGGCCAGTCAGAGTAGCAGTGTGTAATATTTGGTCATTTTTACTGCACACAAGGGAAATGGACACAACATTTGGGAGCAGAGAAATGGGTGGCTTAAGGAAACAAGAGAAAGTCAAGAAACAGGAAGGGAGCTGCCTCCTTGTAAGAAACAGCTGCTCTCGTTTCCCCAGCCGTCAGCCTCTGCTGGGAAGCGGAACACACTCGCCGGCTTTACCAGCGCAACAGCTTTTGTTTCTGCTCTTCGCAGTCATTTAGCTGACATGTTTGTAAACACCAATGTGTATTTCATAAAGATTGCACCAAACAACGTTCATAAACACCGGGTCACTTGCGGAACCTCCCACGCTGCCACCAGCGCTCTCCGCGGGCCCGGCAAGGCGGGACCTGCCGGGACCTGCCCGTCCCTCGCCGCGCCGCCGCCGCAAAGCCTCTTGGGAGTTGAAGTCCCGCGCTCTGCCTTTTCCATGGCGGGTCCGCGGCTTCTGGACTCCGAGTCCCATGGAGCGCTGCGGGGGGCCCGGCGCCCGGCCCGCGGCCCCGGCAGCCGGCGGCAGGGCGGCTAGTTCAAGTTGCCATAGCGGCGAGGTGAGGTGAGGCGGGCGGGAGGTGCCCGGGGACGGGGCGGCCCCGCCTCGGAGCGCTGTGCGGTGAGGGCCGGGGTGCGGTGAGGGCCGCGCCGGGCGGTGTGCGGGGGCGGCTGTCCGGCTCGGGGCGCCCCGGAGGCCCGGCCGGCGGCGGCCCCGGCGCCTTCTGCGCTCCACGGCCCCGCCTGGGCCAGAGAGCCGGGAGGCTCTCCGAGCTGGAGGCGGGTGTTAGTGAAGTTCCCTGCGTGTTCGGCAGGAGGAGGGTTTCCAGAGGGAACGTTACTTGCTTATTTACAGTGCGAAGGAACCGTTCTCTGTGTCGTGATGCTGAAGTGTGCTGGGAGCACGGTGTGACAAATTGGTAATAAAATGTGGTACTGATCCCTTAAGGCACGATGGTGAAATATCACCATATGGGATCACCTTCCCGTCTTTTTCCGGGCTCAAATACAAACACTAAAAGAAAGGACTTTTCAGGTGTCATGTTGTTCCTTTCTGAAATGATTATTATATTTTTTTTTCGTAGTGCTCAGTCTTAGCTAAAAGGCTTCGACCATTCCTTTAACACTAAGTTAGTTACCTAGTGATAGATTAGTCTGTGTGGAGCTGAACAAATAAAATACTTGAGGAATAATCAGCTTGTGTACACTGACTTTATCTTTTGTTTACTTGAGCTGGAGAGCTTGATGTTGAGATTGTCAGCTCTACTTACCTGGCAGATCTCAAAATGTCCTCAGTGAAGCTGAAATGCTCTGCTTCCTACAGGAAAGGAAAACAGCGAGTACTGATGCTTTTCATCAGCTCAACAAAGGTTATGATCTGCTTGGGTAGAACTAAAAACCAGTAAGAGCCACATGATTCTTCCTGTCAAGTAGCTCATATGATCATGTGTTGAAATTAGTGTAGCCTTATGGAAAAAGTGATAAACCTTTTTGTTTGTTTGTTTCAATTGATAGGCAAATGTGCATATAGAACATTTCTACTAATTTCCACTTATTTGTGATTTTAATTTTTTTTAATTTAAAGTGAAACTTGCATAGTTCCTTTAAAAATGAGGATATTGTCTTATGTGAAACAGCTTCTTCACCTTAAAAGTACTTGTGGTTCCTTTTAGGTTGCTCATGACAACCAAGAGGAATGCTTAACCATAAATAGTAAGTTTTCTTCAGACAAAATATTCTCCTTATCCTGTGCTTTCTTTTATTTTTACCTTGATTACTGACCTTTTTCTGTGTTTTGACTAGTATGTACCTTAATGGTCCTATTTTAGGACAATTGAAAATAAACCCGTTAATCTTTCTTGCTGTAAATCTTTATTTCCCTTTTTTTCCTTCAGTCTTTGCTTTTCAGTAGTTGGGGCTCTTATGGTTGGGTCTACTTCTTTGTTGGGTTTTGTTGATTTTTTTTTTTTTACCAAATTACAGTAAAGTCAATATTATTCCATGTTATTGTTTATACCAGTGTTGTATTTTATTTTTCTTTGTCTTTGAAAATATCCCATGATTTCTGTTTCCCAGTGTTTAGTGTTTATTCTTTTTCAGTCTCATTAAGACTTCATTGCAGCTGACTAGAGTGAGGCGCTGGAATAAAGAATTCTGATACTGTCAGTAAAAATGTGCTTTATTGAGGTGAGATAAGAGGAAAGATGAGGTAAATTCACCAGTTCAGAAAAAAGAAGGAATACTGATGTACTTGAGCAAAGACTGAGCACGTTGATTTGTTGTTCTTTCATGTTTGAAAAGTTTTTATCCAAGTCTAGGTAACACAATTTACAACCTTTTAAAAATTAAATATAAAGATTTGGAAAAACATCAAGCTGCCTCCAGATGAAATACAATACAATATAATATTTGAATCCATCCATGGTTTCTTTTGGAAATTTCAGCTCTCATGGCTGGAAGAACATCATCTTTACTGTGACTTTTTTTTTTTTTGTTGACTACAGGGGTTCAAGAATTTGCCAGTCTATTTCTTCTTTCACCAAGTCATTCCATGACCTTAAGGCAAACTGCTGCAGTGTGTAATAGTTTAAGAAAAAATTTCAATCTAGCCTACCTTTTGAGGGTTGTTATTTTAATCAGTTACTATGTGACTTCACTATACTAGGCACAGCTGTCTGTTGATCTTACTGATTTCACCCATATGATGACTGTTGATCTATTTTCTCTCTATCTTGCCATCCTTGAGATTTAGCAATCCCCATTATGAAGACATCTTAGTGAGTACTGTGAGGTAAAGGAGAGTGGTTCTGCAGACCAGGAAGATTGATAAAATATTGATGTCTTCACTCTGTGTTTGGGGAGGAGAATTTGCTTTGGGCTGTGATTTGATCATGGGTACTGAAAATTTGGAAACAGTGAGATTGCATATTTTGATTTAATTTGCTCGTAAGAGGCTCTGCCTTTTGACCCATTTTGACCCTGCTTCGTAGTGTGAACAGAGGTAATAACTGAGGAGCAGTTGGAAGATCTGCTTCAAAAGTACATCCTGCTAATCCAAACCAGAAAGGCAAATGTAATCTGAGTTTGAAGTTGCTTTGGGAATATTGTACAAGACTTCAGTTACAGACAGGAATTAACACGTTACTTTTTCTGGTCTTCCTGCCTAGGCTTCATTGTACTGATGGCAGATTCATCCAGTGATTCAGACAACTTACTTACGGGTCGGATTGGAAGGCGGCCTTTGAGGGCATCCCACAGCAGAGCTCAGAACTATGGTGCTGAGGAAGTTACAGAGAAGATCCATACTTTAGCAAGCACTTTGCAGGTTGTTTACAAAATACGGTTTTAAAGTATTTATAGAACCTACATTTCTGTAACACAGGGTCAAATTTTCATTTCTAAAGTTATGGAGTGTACTGCACAGATGGGAAATATTGCTTTCTGTGCAAACCAAAAATGGTTTTGGGAAATTTATCATACTGCTTTTGAGCTGAAAGTTCTTGGCTTGTTGCACTTTTGTACAGCTGCTATTTCAGACAGTAATAGAATGTTGTTAGAAACAATGATGTGTCGGGGAATACTATTTATAAAGTTAGCAAACTGAATAAGGGCAAATCAGCTTTGTTAGATTCTCACAAACAGTATGAAATTTTCTTGCAGAAAGTTTCAGCCTTGTCTTGGTTCTCTTTGTACTGTGTAAAATTTCCAAATTTCTGATAAATATGTAAGTGGTCAATTGCTTCAGGATGGAGCTTACATTGCAAATATTTTCTAGATGTGAAAAACACTGAGAGAAGCGTTATTTCTAAACTTGTAAGAGAGGAAGAAAAAGTGAAGGGTGCAGAGGGAATATCTGTTTTGCAAGTGGGAAGAGACATTTAGCTATTCTGACACCATTAGTTCTTGAGAATTTATTCCCATTCTTCTCTAGCTGACAGTTCTGAATACCTGGAGTGGATGGGTGTATGTTTTATTACTTATTGTTTGGCTAGCAATATTTTTTTTCCTTTTAATAGATGAGAAGAGAAAAATCAATATAGAATGGTAAATTTAAACATCAAAACTACTTATCTGGAAAATAAACATCAACCTAGAAAAAAGATAATAATACGAATACAGTCTGACTACTTTTAAAAAGGGATTCTTTGGTATTCTGATTCTGTCAAACCTGTTTCTAGCTGCTCTTCTGAAATTCTGATTTTAAGCTAATAGCTTTTTATGGACTTTATGCTTTTTTTCAGCAGATCTTCCATCCGATCCAGGTGTTTATCTGATCAGAGAATATTCATGCAGTGATCTTACCTAGTGTGTTCACCTTCAAAAACTTGTTATTTCTCACATAACTATTCTTTTCTACAAGCAGGTTATGTTAAAATCATTGGATTAAAAAGGTTTTTCTACACAATGGCTGAAACTTGAAAAGACTTCTTATTTGATGCTGAGGCCTTACTGTTGTACTGAAATGATAGCATTTGGTTTTGTTTTCTTCTTCATTTTCTTCCCTTTAGGCATGCTGTGCCCCTTCAGATTCTGGTTACTTGAATAGGATTTTGAATGCCTAAACCCTTTAGAAGGGGTTTGTGTTTTCAATTTAATCTTAGAAATCAATAAGAATAAAGACAACAGTAATGTTTGATTAGAGGAAGTTTCTGTTTTGACTTTTTTCCTATAATTTTTTTATTTAAGGATACCAACAGAAATCTAAGACATGTTGACCATTTGCTAGGACAATACAGAGAATACAACAAGGAACAAACCAAAGCCATAACAACTGTGAGCAACTTTCAGTTTATCTTAACTTTTTAGGTATTTTCCATTAGTAGAATTCATAGCTGAAAACTTGGCATTAATGGACAGAATATATAAGAAGTTAAGTAGCTGTAAACAAAAACTTTTAATATTTATTTGAGCAAACTAAATCATAATATATTTATATGTTATATAATGAAATTCTGACAGGTTTTGTAGGCTTCTCTGGTTTATAAACACCCAATAGATTATGTTATGGTACTATGCAAAATACAAGATGTGTAGCTGAAATAGAATATTAGTGAACATGTTTCTTTTGCAGGAAGAAGTGATACGACAAATGCTGAATTACAGCAGGGAATGAGATTGTGGTCATACTGGTGTAGCCTTTTGTCCTGTCATTCAGAAACAACAGTTTCTGGATCTGTTGACCAGCTTGCTCTAAATTACAGAAAGGATGAAAATTCGGAAATGAGTCTTCTCATTTTAGAAACTCAAAACTCAAACTTCTACAAACTTGAAAACAGGTGTCTTAGAGAAAACAAAAGAAATTAGTGCTGCTAGGCCAAGAGAGGTTTACAATTCGGTTACAAACAAGCTGTAGCAGGTGCTGCCTTGAAACAGATATGTATGAAATGTAGACTATTTTACATGTGAAGGTAGAGAGTGGAGAAGCAAATGTGTGGAAAAGAAAGCTTGTTTTTTTCAGAGAAAGAGAGCCAACACTGTATAATTCTGCAGGAGTAAAGCATCAATTAATCCATTGTTTACAAATTTCACTTAGAAAAAGGAAAGCCTTTATTTTGTGCATAGTCAAATAAAGGTGTAACAAAGCAAGTGGCTAAGAGCCAAAGTTAACAAATGTAATTATAAAGAATGAGATGTAAGTTTGAAAAATGAATGTCTAAGTTTTGAGTATAGCTGGTTCTTTATTCTTAAATTGAGAATGGCTTCCTTTTCCTGGAAGTGAAACTTCTAAAAATAGAAGTTTCTGTAAAGCTGCTTAGGGAAATTTGATAGCCATGTAAAATTGAATCCAGGTAGGGCTGATGGAAGAATTCCAGTAAAAAAATAATTTCTTTTAGGTTATTTTTTGAATTTTGTAGAACTGTTAATGAGCATTGCTGGCAAATAGTTCTTATTTTGGCTGTAGGAGATAAACTTTTGAATTTTTATGGTAGTGCACCATGTGGTGCACCACTGTTTTAAGAAACTTGATATTTGAGGCTGCCAATGTTGGAAGCGTGTTTTACTATAATTACAGGAATGTGATATATGAGATATTGAAGAAAAGCTGTTATTAATTCATAGCTGTACTTGGCTTAAGAACAGCTTCTATTCTCTTATTGACTTTTAGAAAAATAACATTTTCCATGCTTTTTGAAAAACAAGTTTGTGTTCATATTTCAATAAATTACAACTTTTCTACAGCTGAAAGAAACACTGCAGCAATCTATAGGTCAATTAAGGAGCCAGCGACTAATACGAAACTCTGGAATGAGAAGTGCCTCTCTCTCAAGCTTATATCCCAGTGACCTGGATGGAGAAGGAATATCAGGTAAAATGCTTAAAGGGCTTGAGTATACTTGAGTTATGTCATATGGCTGTGTTATGCAAAGAGGAAATTAAGAAAAATGTGTAGAGGTAGTCTGATGGAAAGCCATCATTGATTATTTCAAAGAAACTGAGTTCAGAAATTTGGGAGACATGTATTAAGTTATGCAGTTGTTTATGTGGTAAATTTTTCCAGCTTTCTGTTTCTGTTAGTATTTTTTGCTGATATCCCAGGAGATGTATATGAAACGTTGATTCTTTCAGCTGAGGAAATTAATTTTCCACTGCATGAGTTGTAGGTGCATACAAGTTAAGGCTAAATCCAAAAGATATTGCAGCTTCTGAAGCTTGCTTCACAGCAAAAAGGGAATTTAAATTTTAAATGCATGTGATTATGGATGTTTGGAAATGGTGGAAAAGAAAAAAACAGAAATTATTTATGACACACAAAAGAGTAGGGTTTTTTTTCCGTATATGTCTCAGAAAACTCATTATATTTTTGGGAAAAGGTATGTTTGGGAGGAGTATTCCTTTGAGAGGTAATATTTAATATATTTCAGTAGAAAGTTCTAAAAATTTCATTTCTGTGCAAAAGCTGTGAAATATAATAATTTGAAGCTCTGATAGATTCAAATGGAGGAAAAAGTGGTTGGTTGGGCAAATAAAACTTGAGGAAAAACTACTCCTTGGAGAAACAATTCCTCTTTTTGGAATACTTGTATGTCATGGATAAGAAATGTTTAAATTGAAGAAGAATCCTGAGGAGAGCTAAGAGTCATATGCATGATATGTAATTCAGTAGTTTTGTCTGTAAAGTGACCTAGACGGACATTGTCAAGATGAAAGAAGCATTTCTCATGAAGCAAAATGAAAAATATCCCATACAAAATATTGTCTGCCTGCTTATTTCTTTCATGTCATATCTCCTGCAGGCAATTGCCACTTCCTGCCCACTTCTCCTCTCAGGGATTATGGCGACTCCCAGGGCAATAAACACCGAAGGTCCAGATCTGCGAGTGTCCGGTTTGTCAGTGAGGCAGATAACGTGGAGCAGGTACAGAGCACTAATGGGAGTTGCTGTTCCAAGCAGGCAATGTGTGGTCACCAGACTGCTTTTACATTAAATGAGGTGATTTTGAAGATGTAGCTAAGAATGTTTCAGTTATGATTTGTGCTTTCAATATTACCTGCTTTTTTCATTAGGCAACCACCTCTTGTATTTGTCATGAAGTTTAATGCAAACTTTTAACACATTTAAGTCCCTCTCCTTCTTAGCAAATACATTTTGAAAACTCAATGTGTTATTTCAAAGTCTCTCAGGTCAGGTTGGAATTTCTGGTTAATCACACAGGAGTGGTAGTAGTGCCTGTGTCTGAATGTTGAGGGCAGTCAGCTTGGTTGAAGAAGATCTAGGTTTAAATCTAGGACACAGCCATGGAATTATTGACAGCAATAGGTTGCATTAGATGGATTAACTGTCACTTTCTATCCCATGAAGAATGAATGACCTATTCATTTTTTATTTGCTCCTAAAACTTAGATGATAAATTAGGAGCCTGCTGAATGGGGAAAATTGGAAGTTTTACAGAGGATAGTATATATATGGTTTTGTTTTTTGTTTTTTCCCCAAGATCTAAAAAAAGAGTGTGTAAAGTCTTGGGCAAGGTAAAATACCTATTCTTGGTAGTTGCTGAATACATTATACTGTTCTGCTTGTTTCACTTCAAGTTCTTATGTAATCTATTTATAGTAACATAAATAGCTGGGCAGAACTTTGTTTTACCAATAGTAATAGCTGGTAACATGAAATATGTCTCTCATGAACATTACTTGTTCAGATATTTCAATTTGCTTTGCATTAGGTTAAAGGGTGGTATAGTGTCTAAGCTCTGAACCACAGAAAAAAACCATAGGAAACTCGGTTTAGCAAAGTGCTGAAAGTTAAACTACAATGAGCAAGTATTGTGAAGGGTGGATTGAAATGGAAGTGCACAAACCTCATCCAATCATCCAGGCTCGGCTATAGTTCATGGAGGTTTTATTATTTTTTAGGTTATTTTTATCTGCTGTATTTTAAAAGGTGTGTATATGTGTGGATATGTAGTTTTGGAATATCATATCAAAAAGGGTTCCTAAGCCTTAGCATAATTTGTGTACTTCCATTTTCAGCTGCATTCTTTCCACCAGTCTCTTCGAGATCTCAGCAGTGAACAAGTTCGCCTGGGAGATGACATCAGTTGTGAGCTTTCAAGAAGAAATCGGTATACACAGACTATAACTCCATGTGAAGAACAGTGTTGGAAAATTTCTTCAACTCTTTTATTTAAAAAAATAATTTTGGGGAGAATGAGGAATTGTGCAAAATGTAGATGAAAGCAGGATTATGAACATAAAACTGCTTGTTTTATGTTGTCTTCTGCAGTATTTATAAATGTCAATAACACCTGCTGGTTCCAATTTGTATAATATATGGGGCTTTTACCAGCTTTTTTACATGTGTGCACAAAATGACAAGGACTAGGGATTTTTTTTATTTCAGCTTTGCTTCTAGTTTGTTCTTGTTACTGGAGTCCCTTTAGGGCAAGCTCTTCTGCAGACCATAATGTATATAATTTCTCAACATGTGGTGCTTTGTTCAATAACAGGAGTTAGACTGTTAATTCCTAGTAGGAAAGGACTGTTCAAAAGGACTGTGTAGACCTTGTACTTGTTGACCTGATGCTTAGATGCACTGTTTCTTTACTTGAGGAATGGGAATGCTTTTTATCATGAATTTTCCACTTGAAGCTTATTTCTAATTATGCTATAAATTATTATCAGCAGGCTGTAGAACAAAGTGAAGTAGCAAAAAATTCTGGGGGATTGTTGCTGCTTAAAATTATCATAGGTGTTACTTAGCTTCTGCACTGTAGAATATTATCTTACTTATATTTTTCTATAAAGGACTGATGCTGAATTAAGAAAGACTCTAGAAGAATTGTCTGAAAAGCTTACTGAGTCTCAAAGACAAGAAACGGTGAGTGTGACTAACATGAAAAGGATTATTTAAATCTAGTGTTCTAAACCAGATGTGGGCTTCTAGTTTAATGTATGTGTTGGAAATTAGTAGTACATACTGATATGAACATGATCTTATTTGGGCTGCTATAGGTTGTTGAAATGTTACCCTTCGATAATGAAATCAACAAGACAAGTTTTATATTTCAGGTACTTGTTTTAAGTACAATTGTTTTACAGGTGTGTGTATTGTGAATTTTTCTGTTTCAAAATTCACAGCCTTGGAGAAAGCTTCTTTTTAACTTTGAACATTGGTTTGAATGCTGTTATAATTGTTGAAGGTACCTTTGGAAAGATACAAGCTTTCCCATATTATGATGATAAATACTATTGTTTCTTCTTCCTCCATCCCTCCCTCCCTGTTCTTTTCAATCTTTATCATCTGTGTAGAAGGAGTCTCTTTGGGCTGCTCTTCTCTGGAGGCTTCCTGACAAAATGTAGCAAAGGTGGCAGGACAGCCGTGACAGTCTTTTCTTTTTTGTCTCCTGTATCTGCTGGAAGCAGACTAACTGCAGTTTGTTACTTAAATCTGAAAGATATCTGCTATTGAGATCAAAGTCAAACATCATATTGCTGTAGGAAGCGGAGAAGTTGAGAACCACCCTAGTATACAGTACGTGAGAATCCTGTAGATAATTCTTGACATATAAGACTTGAGTGTATGCTTTATGTAAGCATTTACTGTGATACTAATAGCAAAGTTGGCTTTTCAGAGTAAGTGTTATATGTGCATATTTCCCCATAGGTGATTCATCTTGCTCTAAAATTGTATGAATTTGTACTAAATGCTCTGTCAAGGGTTGTAGTGATGTGTTTGTCACTGATAACAATATCATTGGCATGGACCACTTGTTAGTACCAGTAGACTTAATAAATATACTTGTGTAAATTCCTGTCTCTAGATTAAGTTGGACAGTGATTCAAGAGACTCTATATGTGCCAATTATATTCTTGATATGATAGGGTCAATCAGGGAAAGAAGACTTGCCTTGTCAGCCTTTGTAGAGAAATATGATGGTGTTGTCTTTGTTAGAATGTTAATTTTGATTTCTCCTAGTAGCGTGGTAGGATAAAGTAAGTTTATCTGATAAGGAATTCTTGATACTTGGAAAATGCTGTGTTTTTCTTGTAGAAGACTTCTCAGTATACTTATTTTTTCTCTTTCATGTATCAGGAAATTAGCAAATTCAGTTTTAACCAAGGTGGTTCTCAAGCAAATAGCTTCTACAAGTGCCTACATTACACCTGTTCAGTGCCATTGTGTGAGAGAAACAAACCTTCCTCAGTTCTCTGGAATGGAGGCACCCAATATCTGTTCATTAATGAAAGAAATAAATAGCTCTTTGACCTCCTACAGTAGGGTTTCAAGAGGAGAGAGAGAGGTGAGGTATAACAAGGAAGTCTTCTGTAGTACATTAATGGTAAAGGCAATATCAGAACAGTAAGTCTCTTAGTTGGGAAGGAACATTATCATGCAATAAAGCTATGAAAACTGAAATATTTACTGATATTCTTTTAGTGAAGACACAAGTGCTGCAGTAAGCTGCAGTGAGATGATTTTTATGTGTAAGACTAAAAAGAATTCAGCTGGAATATTCTCCTTATTCCTGATTACTGACTTTATGAAGAACATCATAAAGCCAGATGGAAAGAAGACTGGAAAGAGGAGAGGGGGAAAAAAGAAAAAGGGGAAAATTAAAAAGAGCCACTAATTCAAAGACTTCCTTAAAAAGATAAAAGAATTCCTTGGGTTCAGTTTGCAGAAGAAAAAGGTCATTAGGAAGGATCTAGCCGTGTATGGTGAATGGCCAAAAAGTGGAAGTTTAGTGTACAATATAAGAACAGAAAGTCATCTAATGATAATTCTATAAAATATAAGCCTAATCACCTGTGAGTTAGGAGCTTCTTGGTCTGGAAGTGATCTGTCTGTTTTCTGCAATGAGTAATAATCCCTCTGTGGATTTCTTTTTTGGAACTTGTCTAGTCTTTGTTATAACTTGCATGTCTTTATGATCTTGTCTTATAGTAAGGGGTTCTCAAAATAGATTATATATTGTGAGAGGAGCTGCCACTTTTTTGGTGATCTATTTTTTGGGAGTTTTTTGGGTATTTTGTGTATTTTCTGTATTTTGGTTAACGTGTTTTGTCTTTGGGTTATTTTGTTAGTTGTTGTAGAGTGTTTATTTGTTTGGTTTTTAAATCTAACTAATTTTTTACCCCCAATTTTAACTTGGGAGATTGTTCAGTTTCTTCAGGGATTTTTTGGGACAAAAATTCTGACTTAACGCACTATTGTGTCCAGCCAATTCCTCACCACTTATAAAGCCTAGTGGTAGCAACATTGTGCCCTGCTGCTTTACCACTGCTCTCTGATCCTAGGTGTGGATCCCTTGCCCAAAGCGTAGCAATTACCTGATGAGGCTGGCAGAATCAGTGAGATGAGGTAAATGCAAAAACGAGGAATTTAGTATGGATATTAAGAATAAAAATAACTTGTGGTATGCATCGCAAAGCATGAGATTAGAGTGCATGTAGCAGCTAGAGTCTGTTATTGTAGATATTTGACATCCTTTAGTATGTGTATGCATTTAGGAATGCTCCTAATGAGATTGCTTAATACAGAATTGTCATTGGTGAAAGTGAATTGGGTAAGAGAAAACACTTTTTTTCTCAAAACTTCCTTATGCAAAGTTGTGCAGGAACTTTTGTCCTTAGTACCTTTAGGCTTGGGAGTATTTATCACCTTGAGCTTTGCCATCCTTGTATTTATATTCTGCTGTATGATTTTTGGCAATAAATTGTGAACTTGAAGTCTTGATAATTTCACAGGATGAGCTCACAGTAGAAACATTCTTTGCAGTACCATGTCCTTAAGTATTTTTTTAGAGACGTATATCTAAATTCTTACAGTTTGGTACATTTGGAGCTGTTTGGAAATTGTCTGTATGTAGATGTGGGATGATAAAAGTCTAAGTTACTACAGTTATTCTGAATCACTAGTTCAGAATTTATTTTTTATTAGAGTTTACGATTCTTAGAGCCTTTTTGATGCTGGATTTGATTATTTTAGGATTCATACAACACAATCAAAGCACAGTATTTTACCTGTAAAGAGAGCTTTTCCATGCCAGTATAAAAACCAGTTTACATTGAAGGTGGTGACTTGCACATAAGGTTGAGTGCCTGTTTCAAGTCAAGCACTCTCCATGGCATTGTACTGGAGAATCGATGTGCAGTTTTACTAAAAAGCCTTTATGGTTCTACAGCTCTCTATATCAAAATCTCTTTCTTAGCTATACATTTTGTGAGATTCCTTAGTTCTTGAAAAGGGTTTGGATGTTGGCTAGTCAGGCATATAAGCCATCAAAAGAATATTTACTTGCTTTATGGTTATATAAGATAGCCCTCTTAGATAATTTGTTGCAATTGCTTGGATGGAAGCTCATCTCAAATAGCACAGGATGCTGATCTTTATACTTAAAAAACAACTTCACCAGAGCACAATTTAATTAAAATTAAGTAGATGCTTAATTGAGATGGTGCTGTTAAAAAATGATGGCAGACTGTCTCTGGAAGAAGACAGCAATGTCAAGTGAAATGGTCTTAAATGGAGTTACTGTGGTTATGATACCTCAGAGGGCCAGGACTATTGTCAGATGAACTGTCCCTCAGAAGATCTGGTATAGGGATTTTTGGTGCTACGCAGGTGACTTGTAAAAGGTATAACACATTATAATTTGCCACGAGGGAAAAGTTTAATAATATTTAAAGTTATATCTCTGAAAAAAGTTTGCTCTTTTTGTGATTTTAATACTCCTGTTTCAAGTATGCATTGATGATAAAATGGGTTATAACAAAAGCAGAAGCAAAATCTGTTGAAATAAATTTCTAGCAGACTTTTGCTCTAGAAATAACAGTGGAAAGCTGAAAAACAGGGCAGAAATTCAGTAAGTAGGATGGTGCTTTTTGTACAGTAAGCATCTAGCATCTTCCACATGATTATATTTAGCTGCCGTGACTTAAGTGTCACCCTGGTTTTAAAAAGGACATTCTGTACTTCGTGCTTAATTGTGGGGGAGGGGAGGAATTTTTGATAGCTTAATCTGTTTTCATAGATTTTGCTGCTACCTGAAAGCTGTATGTGGAGACGCAGCTCTAGTGTCATCATTATTATTCAGCTAGTCTCTGCTGCTAAAAATGCATGCTTGAAATCACATTCTAATATGTTCTGAATGCAGTAATTTAATGCTAGTATTTAATGTCATTGTGTAGAGCCTCTATATTCTTTGTACTGTCCTTTGGTGAAGCACTTGTCTACACTAAGATTTTTGTTAACATTCAGAGGTGAAGGTACATACTTTCATGGTACAAGTGTTGTTCTGAGTCAGGGTCATTTGGGACAAAGCAAGATGAGTATGTTTTTACGTTTACTCTGCATGTACTACTTAATATATTGTTTCTAATTATTTTTTTTAATCCCTACTGTTGTATCCCACAGGCACTGTGACAATCTTAGGAAGGTCAGAGGGGCTACAAAAACAGGGGAATTAATTCTTGTGGGAGATTAAAGCCTTGCTGAAGTGCAAAGGTGTTACTAATACCATACCAATGTACACAGTATGGGAAAAAATAGGAGTTATAAGCAGCATCAAAATGTTTGGTGGTTTGTGTTGGTTGTGGTTTTTTTTTCTTGTTAAAAGAGGGTTATGTCTGTAGCTGAAATTTCCATGACAAATGTAATGATACATAATCCATTTTTTTTAGTACCTTGTTAGAAATAATACAACAATTGTATTCTGTAGTGAGTTGAAACAAGTCAGAGGCAAGGCAAATCACCTCATGAAGTTACTTTCTTACATGTTCTGTGTTAGTGATAATTTGTGATGAAATCTGAACTTTGCAGGAATCTAAAGCCTGTCTAGTGCTGCCTCGTGTCATGTTATCTGCTGTGCATGCTAGGCACAGGACAGTGAAGAAGTTGCTGAACTCTCCTTTGGAATGTCATCTTTGGGGGTGATGTTCCTTTTGAATCTTCTGTCAAGTCAAAATTGTATTTTTCTTTCTTAATAGTGCATTATAATTAGTGCACTAAATTAATGCTTAATAGCACTAAAGCTATTAAGAAAGTACTTCATTGAAAAAGGTGCATGAGAGAGCTGAGAAAGTTTCTGTCTTCAGAAGCACTTAGTCAAAACTTTAAAAAAATGTTAAAACATTACTGTTTCTTTATGTTAGATATGTATGGGGAAAAAGATGACAGCTTATTTCCTTGGTTTCAGCAAAGATATAACAAGTTTAATGAGTGTTATTTTCTGTTCCTAGTATACAGTATCATTGTTTCTGTTAGGTGGAGTATTTTATGAATTCTGAGAAGTAACACTAAGCAGTACTTGTCAAAACAAACATTGCAATGTGGTCTTTATCTTTTTTTATACATTAGTTTTTAGTAAGTAATTTTTCTGGATTTTGGCTGCAGAGCTTTCATAACTTCATGCAAGTGTGTGGTTTGATGCAGTACCAGGCATCTCTTGATGGTTTTAGGAAAAAATACAATATTCCAGACTGTAAGCTGACTGTTCATCTGACTGCATAAACAAGAAGTGTTTTCTGAGAGAAGTATTCTGTTGTAAAGAAAGAGTGTTTTGTTCACTAAACCTTGTGAAATCCAGATCATAAGTGTAGCCTTAATTGTCTTTCTGTTACTACATAAGTTGTGTTGCTCATGGTAAAATTTCCTATCTGTGCATATGCCTAGTGCTAATAGAAGATTAACATAGAAAGATGAGAACTTATTCACTTCCACATACATAAAACTAATAGTCAAATGGTGTTTTATTTTTTATCTCTTTTTCTCTCCATCTTTTTTTTTTATCTAATTATAATTTGATAATGGATATATTGTTTTCTAGTGATTTAAAATAATTAGTTTTAAGGTAGGGAGGAAATGATACATAAATATTTTTCTTACTAATCTTTAACAAAATAAATTTAATTTGTTGCCTCAAGAGGGTGCTGTCTGCTAGCAGCTTGAATTGAAAAAGTGAGGTAATTCTGGTATTCTAGTCTGATTGAGTTTTTAGTTCATAATCCAAGTTGCTTTAATAAACCCCTGTTGTTGTTTGTATTAGTTTCTACATGGATTCACAAAAAAAACTGGAAAAAATAGCTTAAAGTGATGTAATTATTTTGTGGTGTTACAGTTATGCTCACGTATTCTTGTTTACTACTTTTTACTCACAGATTTTGGATCATGAAAGAGGCAAATATTGGTCTGTTTTGCAGGCTGGAGATGTGAAAGAAATGTCCTTCCAGAGGTTAATTGGGCTTGTGACAGAGAAGCTAAGACTTGTGTATTGCAACTTCACATTAGGTTGCTCTAACCTTGATAATTAGATATGTAAGCCTTGAGTAGAACCACCTCTGTAGAGAAAAATATGTATACACATAAAGGAGAATACTGCCAGCAAGATAACAGTTTGGTTCCCTGCTTGAGTACTTTTGGAGTAGACTGCTATAACTAGTTATTTTCTCTACAATTCTAGATCTGCTTTAATAAAATATAAATTATGTTCTCTTTTCATTTTGTCCCATAATCTGTGTACATTTTTGCCATTGATATTTTTACATGTATTAAAAGGCACACTAATTTCCTACAGCATGGGTTTTTTCCTTTTGAAGGTATCAGAACGAGTAGAGAGAAGACTTCAGGAGATAGAAGAAGAAATGCGTGCTGAAAGACAGCTGGTAGAAAGGCGCCAGGACCAGCTGGGACATGTGTCTCTTCAATTACAGGAGGTATGCAAACAAAAGCTTCCCGTGTATTTAGGATTTAGTTAGGAATCTGTTGCGTTTGTGAGCCTGTACCTGTCAAATTGGGAAAAATGCTCATATCTTGGAACATGTTTTAACTCTCAGTCCAGCTCACATTGTTTTGATGACCAGATAATACCGAGCACAGTCTCAGTCCTTTATTATACTGTCTTGACTATATTTAGACCTTTTTGGTAACTGCCACAAATCTTCTAAGAACCTACCCCTATGCCCTATGCCCTGAAAACCCAAGCAAACAAAAGCAAGTCATTAGCTGGGTTTTTTCAATGAAAAGGTTTTATTTTCTAAAAGGTAAACTTTGCTTGCTCATGCAAGCAAATATAATTTATTTCAACAAGCAGTCTAAAGCACTGTAGTGGCCAGACAACTTTTCACTGCTTTTGTTTTATTCAACTTTTGTTTTATTCAATACTTGATGAAATATAAAACACTGTTTAGGAGACAAATAGAAATGTTTAGCATATAAGTTAAAATTTGAGACAGATGTTAGCTTTTTTTATTCTTGTTTTAGAAAACATAAGAAAAATACTTATTTTTGATTTTACTTCTGTTTCAAAAATCTGTGTCTTAACATAGTGTGACTTTTTATTTCACTCCACTTAAGATATGATTTGCAATGTTATCTCTATCTGTACAATAGAATACTATAATTGAGAAGAAATATGCAATTCCTTGATTTTTACTCTTAATGTTTGCAACATAGCTTTTGGCAGGCTTTATACTGTGCAGTGTTACTGAGGAACCTTGCTCATGATGCTATGTATTTCATATTTTATCCTTTTAAAGGGATGATATCTTGTATTCTCTAAAGATACATTGACACTGCCATAGTTTCCTTAGAAAGAAAACTTGAATTCAAGTGAATGAGTTCAAATGTAGTTCAAAGAATTTTCATATGATCTTTCATAGATCATGTGAATGATCATAGTCAATGTGATCATGAGCCTCCAGGCTGGGTGCCTTTATTCTTGGTAACTCATCTTTTGAATTTCATGCAAAAAGAATATGAAATAATAAGTACATTCTACACCTTCTTCTCCTAAGATGTCCAGATGTAAATTAAGATGGCTTAATAGTTTATTTTGTAAATTCTACTTTATTTTTTGTAAGTTATTTTTCCTGAGGAGCCCCTTTTAAAAATACAATTTAAGTTGCTGTATTTTAGAAAGAATGGACTTGAACTACCTTGTGTACTTTTGCGTAGCCTAGTGAGAATAAAGTAAATAAATATTTTGCTACAATTGTTATTTAGATAAAATATGTTTCTGTATAATTTTGAGCTTGTTATTTTGTTATTCTGTTTCTTGTCCTTTGTTATTCAAATTGTGAGTTAGATGGACTCCAAACTCTGACAGTGGCCTCAAGTCTTCTGGTAATCACTGCACAGCCATAATGTTCTATTGAAGTGCTTCTGTTTTCATTTATTTCTCCAAGATGCTTCCCAAGTAAGCTTACTGGAAAGGAGGGTAGTGTTTGGACTGAGTTTTGAAATCCTGTCATTAATAAGGCGTGAATGATTTATGAGAAATACTATTTAAAGCATTTGTGGCTGTTTAATGATATAATTGTTTCATTAGTTTGCCTGTTACACATTTCAAACAAAATTAAATTTTACTTTTGCATGTTATCAGTAGTTGCTCTAATTAAGAAATCGTATGAAGTTTGTGAGGATTAAATGCTATTTTTTTTTTTGAGTGAAGTGCAGTGCCTGTAACTGACCACTACTTGTCAGTATTTTACCGTCTTAAGAGAATCACCTTCCTAAATTGCAATTATTAAATTATATATTTTCAGGCTCTAAAACAACATGATGATATGTTTATTTTGGCCTTTCTCTTGCCTGTCTTTTCTTTCTCTCAGTTTTTTGTATAATGTGCAAACTTCTTATTTGTGTTGTAGTATTATATATTACTATAATCATAGACTGATTATGAACCTGGAAGATATCTACGTGTATACTCACCATTAAGAAAGCTTAACATATAAAATTTTGTATCTTTAAGTTTTAAATTTGGATTTTTGTTTTGAATCTTTAGCCTTTCTATGCTGTGTATAGTTGTTCAAAAACTATTTTCTTTATATTTTATGTATCTTTTACCTTACAGCAATTACTGAAAATTAGAAAATAGCAATTAGCAAACAAATTCATGCAAATCATGCATATTAATTTTTTTCCATATTCCTGATATAAGCATGTTTCTGATTAGAAAGAAGAGCAAATATTCTTTTCTTGCCAGGGCTATTGACATGCATACATGAATTGTTTTAACAACTTCATTTGTTGTGTAAATGAAAACTATTTTGAGATTCCTCAGTGCTTCTTTTCCTTTGAATATAAAGATATCATCTCCTCTTATTTTTGTTTGCATTTTTACATCTGTTTTCTAGAATAAGATCAAGTATCATTCTTAAAAATGTTTTCTTTGCATTCTTTTCTGTACATTGGGTGTCCTGGATGGCTTTACAAAATTCTGTGCTTGGCTTCCTGGATTTTGGTGGATTGTGTTCATGCTTGGCATGCTTTAGGTAAACAGAATCATCTTCATTGAACCTTTTGAATCCACTGAATGTGGTAAGGCAGTGACTGCAGTTATGTCTTAAGCTAACAACTTGGGTGGACCAGGAAGCATTTTTTAACTTTTTCCTAGTGCAAATGTATACTTAGATTTTGTTTGCCTCCCACTACAAATACCATGAACTGCAAGAAGCTGGTGGACAGAGAGTGGGGTAAACTGATTGTCAAAAGTGTTATTGAACATTGTTTTTTGCATATCTTTATCACTGATCTATTTAGACAAACATAAACTTGATCTGTGCTCTGAGCCACCTGGATATTTTAGTGCATTGTTGATACTTGCTCTTTGGCTCTGTGCTATGCCACCTCTGGCCAATGGGTTCTGTTTGGATTGCAGTTTGAAGCTGACTCTTGCTTGGAACATGAGGAAGTCTCATGCATATCTGTCACTGATATAGTTAGGTAGTATCTTTTTAACTGCTTGGCTGGTATGTTTAGGTAGCATGCTTGGAGCCATGCTAATCACTAATGTAGCAAGCTAGGAAAAGTATTTTTGTTCAGATTAAGATGTGGTGCATTTTTGCCTTATTTTAAATTATAGCTTGAGGCTGTTCTGCTTGTATGTTTGTGATAGTATGAAAAACTCACTGATGAGTCTCACTTTGAAAGAGCAAGTTTCAGTTTGTGGTCACACAGCTTTCAAAAAGTCTGTTTTTATTTAAAAACACAACACAGCAAAACCAAACTGAGTCCAAAACATAAACCCTAAGAAAAGTTAGTAGACTTAAGTTGCTGTAAAATTTACGATTTGCTCTTGAAAGGTTATCATATGTTGGAAAGATTGAGAACTTGAGTTGTTTCACAATCATCCCCATAGTTTTTCTCATAGATAATTTTTTCTTATATATGAAGCAGTAAGTTAAGATTTTGAAGTTTTGGGGTTCAATAGATCCTGTGTGTATGTAGGTGAGGTATGCTCAGTTGGGGTATGCCAGTTACGTTTGTATTCTAATGCTGTCTTATGCTAGTGAACTCTGTTTCATAAAGATCTGTAACAATTGCTCTCCTTGGTGAAATCAAGAGTTCATCTAGCCTGACCACGTAGTGGGCAGTGGAACGTGTAGCTGGTCCTTCCCAAAGCCGTGCTGTGTAGACCTCTGTACGTGGAAGTTCTGTCTCCTTGTGGCCTCCTGTATACCTGCCTCCTCCAAGGCCTCATGAACCCTGTCAGTCTCTTTCAGACTGACCTGGACACTAATGCTGCTGAGGAGGATCTTGGTAGGAGAATGCTGTTGATTGTGGGCCTGTTCCCATTCCTTGGTGCTTCAGCTTCTCTGGACAGTTTCTGCCTGCTGTTTGGGAGCCATCAGGGAGGAGTGTGTGTTTGAACTGTTGTCCTTAGCATCCTTTTCCTAGTTCCCATTTTTGACATTTGACTTCCTCAACCCCTTCTTTGGAGACAACAAATAAAATCAAAGCATCAATTGGATCTTTACATGGTTTTTTTGGGTTTTTTTTTTTTTTTTTCTTTTACCCCTCCCAAGAGAAAGCTTATCTAGTACTCTTTAATGGAGAAAAAACGAGTGTGGCCCAAAACAGCAAGAGAGAATTATTTAAAAAGGAGTGCAGAAAGGAGGCAAAACACAGAATTAACTTTTACCTCTTAAATTTTTGACTTCTCACTAACAGTTGACATTTGTCTGGCTGTGGGTGACCAGATGTCTCCATTTCCTTATGACATTTTGATTAACTACTTAACTGGCACCTACTGGTACACTGCATGTTTCACAGTCCAAGCAGTGCACATGTAGTATGTTTCATTTACTGTAACATTACTTTTTTTTTTGCAGTATTTTGACTCTGGGGTATCTATCTCTCTCTCTTTCTATATATATATTAGCTGTTATTTTCCTTAAAATGATGTGGCTATGGGATATTTTTACAATATGCAGAAAATAGAATGGAAGATTATATTTATAGCATCAGTTACAGTAAAGGATGCATTTGTTTGAAATTATTACTATTTAATAGCCTGAATATCAGTTGGTGAGGTTGAAATGGCATATTTATTTCCATGATTTCTTCTGGAAATTAGGGCATACTACTGATGCAGAGATATATTTTGCTTTCAGCAGGAATAATCCTTGAAAATTTTAGTAGTAGTCATCACTCCAGCCCAGGTGTAATATTTTCTTTATGATTCTGACCTCTCTAGCCAAAGCATGCATGTTTGGTACTATGTTAATAATTAATTTAGTGCCAAAAATAAAGTTGGCCTAAAGTAGACTGACTATAACAAAGCTTCTATTTTTGCTAGTAAAACTGATGGCCAGTTGCAGTTAATGGACATCATATATTCCAAGTAGGCTGTTCTGAACTGACTTCCGGTCATTAAAAATAAAGAAAAAATTACAAACCAAAACAAAAACCCAATGAACTTGGGTAATGCAAAACCAACATAAGCTAAAGAGATGATCTTAGACTTTTGGTCATGTTGCTTTTTGGGACTTCTCCCAGGGACCTTTTTGAGTAAAATGTGTGCAGTGTTGAGTTTTATAGTTGACTGGAATGATAGATTTAAATACTGAATACTTAGGAAAGTACCTTAAATGTGTTAGTCTTCTATTATCTGATTAGGGATCAGTATGTCTAAAATTATTGCTCTTGAGGTGACATAATATTTTCAATGGAGTAGTTATGATTCATGTCTTCATGGTCTCAGATTTTAACGTAAGCTGTTCAGGCAGAAGAGTAATCCAAGCTATACTGAAACCCTTATGTTTTCTGAGGTGAGGTTGTAAGAGGGAGGTAAGTATATGAAGCCATTTATTTTCTCCAGAAAGCTAATTTTAAAGCCAAAGCTTCTAAAGCTGAATGCCTGGCTTCACTGAAGTTGATTAATATCTTGTATTCTGTTTTCATACACTGAAATTGCTCTTCAGTGTACAGTGAAGAGAAAATGTTCAAAAAGTGAATGAAATAGCACAACTTATAGGGACAAATTTCAAGGAAGTTAGGAGATTTTCCTATAAATGTAAAATGAAAATGCTGCTTGGGAATGACAGACTGGGAAAAAGAAATTTCTTTCTGGAAAGGCTATATGTTTTTCTTGTTGTATTAGCAAGTAATTATGGAAGGAATAGATGTACTTATGCTTCAAGATATGGGATAGAAGTACAAGATTTGTGCTCAGGTACCTAATTAATTGATTTGTGACTAGTGTGAAAAATGCTTGGTAATGTTGTGCAGATAAAAACTGTGATTTATAAACGGTTCCAGAAATTCATGGCAAATTATCATCACTATATGGCTACTGATGTCTTTCAGATGATGTTTCTAAGTGATATTTAAAATGACCCAATGATTTTGCTATGGTTTGAGATGTCTAAACTTGGGTTGTTTATGTTGCAAATATTACATGTTACTAATATCTGTCATGTCTAATGCTTCCTTTGCTAGTGATTGGCTGTGTTTTGCAAATAATGTTGGTTTGCAGAGGGACAAGTGTTGTACAAGATTTTGAAATTGATATTTAATGTGCTTTTATTTTTGTAAGATGGTTTAGAAAGTGTACACATATGATTTTAAATACCTCAGTCTGAGAGGGAATGGGAAAAGTCTGCATGAATTTGTTTTATTTCTGTTATTATTGTCAAGGAAGGGCACGTCAATGTTGGTAATTTTTGATCAGGAAAGTTTCAGTTGATTCAGTTGTAGTTCTGTGGCTTTAAGCATCTGTCCAGATTCAGAAGAAATAACCTTTTCTTTTTTTTTTTTTTTTTTTTTTTTTTTNGCGTTTTCTTGACTACAGTGCATTGAATTTCATAGCATGCACACTTTATATTAGAGAATATATTATTTTACTCTGATATGTGCACAGCTAATCTGTAGAGGATCTCTTGAGCCTTTTAGACTTCAATCTAAAGGTGTTTGGGGTCAACTTGAGAGTCTGGAGCTCTATACATCGGAAGGATGTTAGTGCTGCTTTAGACTTTGTGTTTGTCCCTGTTCTCTGCATGGGTGTGTTTATGTATGCATGAACTTATATTTGTCTTTTCATAACAATATACATTGGCTCTACATGGAAATACTAGATGCAGACAGAAAGCATTTGTCTAGATCTTCTTTCTTAAATATATCAGCAGGTTCTTCAATTTTACCAACCTTGGAATGATGGCTTCTGTAAATTTTGTGATGAAGTTTACAATATATTTTTCTCCTCTAAAGGTTTTAAGGAAGCAAGATGTTAAAGCAGATGAAACAGAAGAGCTCATGAGAAACAAACTTGTGCAATATGAAAGTCAAAAGCACCAGGTAAGACTTAATTTTTTCCTTTTTGCTTGGTTTTAAATGAGTGTGTAGTGTAATCTGTTACAGTATATGCTTCCTTTTTCTGAGAAACCAGCAGAACAAAACATTCTTTAAGAATTCAAGGAGTGGGATTTTTTCTGTATCAGAGATACTGTGAATATAGCTATGCTCAGCTTGTGTCTCTCCTTCAAAACTGTTCAGTTGTAGTATGTTACATCTAATGACTCTTCCATCCTGCCAGGCAGACAGATTTATAACTTGAGCATTATCTTTGGTATCTTTCTCTATTTTGTCTCTGAATTTGTATGTAGTCTGCTGTTGCTTATTTGCAGCATATCAAAGCAGCTTTTCTTCATCCCTGCAGCTAACTTATGCTGGTTATTTTGCACCATAGTTCTTATTAAGTACTCTTACTGAACTGTTGCCATATTTCACTCTTTCTTTTCATAGAAAACAAAATTTCTTGTATTTTTTATTCTAGCAAGATGTTAGTGCTGTATTTCACTTTGGCTAGTTTTCTTTCCACTTGCATCAAGTTTAGCATCTTGCATCGGTGTACCCCCTTATGCTAAGCCTTTATGTAGTGTAGTGTTTTATGTAGTGTTTTACGTTTTGTTGTTCTCTTCATTCCCTTAATGTTGGTCCTGTTTACTTTGCCCATTTTCCAGGCTTTCAACATCCTCCTTGAGATTGCTATCTCAACAATAACAATTTCTGCTGTCAAAACCTCTATTTCCCAGTGTATCTTTGAACTATTTGTGGAAGAAGTCAAAAAATACTTTGGCGCTTTTGCTTTCATTTCTTTTTTTTCTTTAAATGGTCATTGGTTTGATGACTATTTCTGATTACACATTTGGAATTTTATGTTTTTAGGCAAATTTCAGTTTTATGAAATTCAGGGCGCTTCAATTTTTTAGTAATCTCATTTCCAGAATAATTCAAATACATCATCTTGTACAAGACAGAAACCCCACAGATTTTACCAAATACAGTTCTGCCAATGTGTGTCATCTTTAACACTTCTAGGAATAAACTGTTTGCCAAAGGTGACTTAAAATATTTAGTCATTATTAGTTTTGAGTTTGAAAGTCTGTTTCAAATCTAGGGACAATGTTTTTGAAACTTTGTTAAAACTTATCATCCTTTTTTTTTTACTTTTAGGCCAGTAAAAATTTGCATTTGTGATTTTGTTTTGGATAATATAAATTATTTTGTATCTTTATGTGATATTGAATATTGTACAAAAATTATAGACTGTAAATAAAATTCTCTTTATGTAATTTAAATAAATATTGCAGGGATTTAGTACAGATGAAGGTTTGCTTAAAATTTTGGACAAATAAAAATACTACGTATATTATACTGCATTTTAGATAGATGCTTATATGGATGAATTTGTGTCAAAATTAAATGTTAAAACACACTTTTATATTATGATGCCTACATTGGTTTTTTTTCTTCATCATCCTGTGAAATGAAAGCTTGAGCAGGAATTGGAGCAGTCCCGGAAAAAGTTGAGTGAATCTGAAGGCAGTAGAGAAGCTCTTTTGCATCAGGTAACTGCTTTAGTGTGATAAAAATCCTAAGGTTTTCATATTAAGTTGTGTCTGATTCTTTTTGTTTAATATTCTTATCTCATCTTCTGATAACATTGTTTTATGAAGGAAGAAATGAGATATAGGAAGACATGTTTAAGTGTGTATAATATGTGGACTGAGCTCGTTATACTTTTTCTGCTTTCCAAACTTTTATGTGTATATGTTCATATATATTAATTATAGTAGTGATAGTAATGGTATGTTTTCAGTCCATAAACACATTATGTGAAATATACATTCATAACATGCTTTAGAACTACTCCTGTATTAGTAATCATTGTTCTGCAATGCATGTGCTATAATTGGTGAAATCAGATAAATAAATGACCTAGAAGTATTTGCGACATTGTAACATGCAATAAAAGCAAATAAAGAAATACCTGAAAAAGTATCTAAAGTGTGCTTTAATCAATAGCTATTAATGCATTTATGATTAAGTTTAAAATTTGTAGGAGTTTGGATTATAGCTTTAGAAAAAAAGTCCTTTCTCCTAAATATCTTTCTTTTGAGGGGCTAGATAAAAAAACTGAAATAACTAGGAAGGGGTCAATTGGCATTCTCATCTTTTAGCATTAATTATTTGACTTGTGTATCCAGCAGAAGCTTGAGTTCGCTATGTTGTTACTGTACTGAATTTAAATAATTGTGAATGGAATATAGGGTCATATGAATTGGAGGCATTTTTCTTCAATTCAGCTTTAACATGTTGGGTTTTTTCTAAGTGCTATACTATATATGATAGGAAAAATGTGAAGAGCTCCTGTGTTTTTTATGAATAAATACATTGTATTTTTAAGGAGCACAATTTAAATAAAACATACTGTTTATTAAATTTGTATAGATGTTTTCACTGACTATGTGAAAAGACAATTGCAACATTTTTGTTTCATCTAGAGAAATTGTTGCTCATTTGTGGTCAACAGAAATTAAAAGGTTTCCTTTAATTTTGAATAATCACTTTGTGGCCTTTAATTAGGAACTAGTTTGTCTGTTTACCATCTGCAGTACTCTCAAGATGTATTTATAATTATATTTTGTGTGTAGTATTTTTCTGATGCTTGTGCATATATTTTAGATTGAGGATCTTCGTTCTCAGCTTTTGAGAGCAGAAGAAGACCGTGTAGAATTGCAACATCAAATTTCATATGCTGCTATGCATCGCCAGAGCTATCAGGATGTACAGGATGATGACAGGAGAATTAGAGCAGGTACAACTAATATTTTGCACTGGAGACCTGCAGGCTAGTTAGTAGGCATGGGCACTAATTTTATCTTAGAGCTGCAAGCTAATTCTTCTATTGTTTTGACAAGACCAGCCAATTAATTACTCAAATTTAAGTTAATACGAATATTAACAGACAAATAGCAATGACAGTTAATTTATGATAAAATATTTTGATTTGCACAGTTAAAACAAATGAGACAATTTTAGCAAACTGAATAGTGTTTTTACAGAAGAAAAACATGTATTATTTTTAAGTAATAATTTTCCAGAAAACTTGCATTTCAGTCCATTTGCAGTTTGAATTCTGCCATCTTGAAAATCATAAAAGAGTCATTTATTAGATAGTTAATAAGGCTGATGACTTTCTGGTAGAATTTATAAGCAACATGTTCCTAAGTGGTTAAGAATATTGTTCTATATGATGCAGTCAGGGCTTCTGTTTGCACAGAGTAGAATAGTTTTATTTAGAAGACAAATACTTTAAACAATTTCAAGGTATAACTGCATATTAAATTACTGCTTTAGCAAGGTCTTCAGTTAATTGCTAATTATCTATCTGTATTTGAACTTTTCAAACATAATAATGTCTATCTGAATTGGCATTAGAGAAAGTCTTTCTCCTTATTGCCATAGCAATGTATTACTCAAGGTTATAGAGTAATAGGGACTCTATTCTAGAGTCCAGTGTCAATGGGAATGTTAAATTGGTTTGGCTAATGACATATTTTCTTATTTTTGTACTTCAGCTTCTGAATTATCTTTGTTTTTAAAATAGGACAATGACTCGGTATTTTGCAAACCTCATACAGAGCACTGGAAATGAGCTTAGCTTCAGAAATGTAATGCAAAATGATAATTGCAATAGTTTTTCTCCAATCATGTTAATGTATCTGCTTAAAAGTTAGTTTATTTGAAACAATATGCCTTTCATATTAATAAAAGCATATTTTTACTTTCCTATTGATCTTATAAATCAAGACAGTTGCAAAAGTATGAAGAAAATAAAAATGTACTGTAACTATTAAAATACATGCATACATTTATATAATTTTTGCTGTTGTGTTTCACCTTGCTGTATTATTTCTGTTTCTTCAAAGATATACAAGAAGAAGACAAGTAGAGATTTTTTTTCTTTTGCCTCTAGAAGTTATTTATGAATAAAGACATCTGAATTTCTGATTGAGAGAATTTATAGCTTACTCTTATGAAAACCTTTGGTTGTATTTTCAGGATTCAGAAAAAATTCACAGATGACTTTCAAATTGGGAGGTATTACTTTTGTGAGATAAAACCTTGGCCTTGAAGCTGATGGCCAAATTTCATTTACACCAGAACTTCCCCACTGTTTCTTCCATCCTATTTTATTTTATTCAGTTTTTCTATGGCTTTGGTTGTTTTGGTCGTTTTTTTTTCTTTTTGAGGGGAGCAGCTGTGTGCAGGGGGAAGAGTGGAAACCCCTATAAAATGATGGAAAAGTACTGTTTTATTCTGTAAAATGTTATTAGCTTATGTTATCGGTATTCCATTTTTCACAGATATTTTGGTAAAAATCAGTAGTTATAGAATAGTCTTGAGTGGAGAAGCAAATTGCCAAAAATTAAATTAGATAAAATTAATTTACCACAAGTTGGTATTTCTACTGAATGTATTGCTCTGTTCTTATTGTTTTATAGTAGTTGAAAGATATGAGAGAGAGAAGCAAGATCTAGAGAAACATATTTTGGAACTTAAAGCAAAGCTGAGTCACAATGCTGTAATGTCAGAGGTAGAAGAACTGAAGAGATGTATAGAGCGTAAGGACAAGGAGAAAGCACAGTTGGTAATGCACATACAGGTAAGTTGGGTTTTGTTGCTTTTTGCTTGGTGGCTCTTTGTTTTTTAAATAATTTTCTATCTGTTTAACATTAGGTGATATATCAGATTAGGGATTAACCTTTAAAATGTAAGAGTAACTGTCATGCTCATTATTATGTCAATCACTTTGAAAAGTGATTTCAGTTTGCCGATTTTTTTCTCTCCCATGTAGTACCAAAAAAGTTATTTGCTGTTGCCCATGATTTCATGGTTTGGATTACTTCTCTTTCCCATGTGCAAAGAAAATTTGATCTGCTTTTATCAGCACTTACTGTTAATAATGGTTTTTGGAACTACTTTTATAAGGTAGTACTTAATCTCTTATTCCCCATTCCATCATTCCTCAGAATTGAAGTTCAACTTTAAAAGTTGAGATACTTTGTTCTCTGAGAGAGTGTAGTAGAGTAACAAAAGTAGGTCACAATTTTCCTTTTTTTAGTAACTAAATGCAATATAGTAATATAATCATAATAGTAGTCTATATGGTAAGTATATCTTAATGTTTAATGTGATTCTCTGAGAAGGATAAGAACAGCCTTTTGTACTGGACTTTTAGTTAGAATACTTTGACTATAAAATGAGATCTAAGTAGGCAGTAGCATTCTTATTTAAGTTGGGAAATTTCTGTGTTTCTTGTTCTTGTCTAGATTTGTCATTGGTAGTAGAATGCCTGAACAGTAACAGTTGTCTTCCATGACTGTCAGGAGAAAAGAGTTTGTTTGCAAAACTATGCAACTGTTATTTCAGTAGTCAAGGACTTCACTTTTTGTTCTGCTTGTATTTTGGCATTCTGTAAGCGAGAGATTTTGTATTTATTTTCCTAATGAAGGTACTTATGTATGAAATGATATTGCATCACTTTGGAAATTCAAATGTAAGAATTTATTTTTTTGTCTTCATAGATTTACAGAACTATACTCTTCAGTTTACTTCTGTTGCTCCTTTACCTTGTCAGCTTTTCTGCTGATTTAAATCAAACTAACACATCAAATTACATTTGGGAAAAAAATGGTGTTCTCAAAATAAGTTCCTACATGCTTTACGAAATTCAGTCATTGAATAGGTTTAAAAAGACCTAAAGTGTTTTTGTAGAGGGTAAGATGAGCAAAACTAAATTCCTGCTGTCCATCAGTATTTGTATTCTAGCTGGTCAATGAAACCCATGACTAACTGAAAACATTCTCAGTTTTTGTTTTGTTGTGCCTGAGAAACTAATTATTTTGGTGGCAGGAATTAATGGGGTAAGAACCCACATAAAACCAATTATTTTAAACTTCTGCTTGTAGAACATGCTTACTTAAGGATCAGAATGATTTTATAATACTAATTTTCTGTCCTGAAAATACTCATGCTATAGTGCTCAGTTGGGGTCATTGTCATTTCTCTGAGTTAGAAATCTTTGACTTCCCTCATTTCTCAATGGAAAATACTTTGTACTTCTTATCTGCTTCCCACTGCCTTTCTCCAACAGGGGCAGTAACAGGAAAATAGCTAGTGTGTTTTTCTTTTAGCGAGACATCAAGGAATGCAAGGATGTGAATTTCTAAACTTGTGTACTAACAAAGCATTTTGTCAAGCCTGTTCTAACAGCTGCTCCTATCAGATAGTCTGATTCCCAGTTGGAAGTGACCAGTCATGTTTGACTTGGGTGTGATTTATCTTTGTTTAGTGGGGAGAATCTAACTTGCCTCTGATGTACATGTGATGTTAGCAATTTCTTTTGATTTATTCAAATGTCATTGTTTGCAACAATTTGAGTTGTGTGTGTTGTACATTTAGCCTCCAACAGCTGCCATAAAATCACAGTGTGATGTAAAATGGAGGGGATGAAAAAGGTTAAAACATATTCTTAAGCTGATACTTAGAAGTATGTTCAATCTTAAATTAGTTTTAAAATTTACTATTTATTTCAGCTGCTCTAGTTTCCATAAGGGTGTGGTTGAGATCTTCCACATGTATACAGCTATCTTAAATACATTTTTCTGCATGAAGCCAAATAGATATGGGGCTGTTATAGCTAACTTTTAAGATTTAAGTATTATGACTAAGAAATAAACAAAGTCCACAAATTATAAAGATGCAATACCCTTTCTCCATAAGTGTTCTTCATAAGTATTTTTAGACTTTCTAATACATTCTCCATAAGTGTTTTTAGACTCTTGTGCCCAGGAACTTGTTTGATTTACTAATTACTCTTCATTTGAATTTGATGGTAGCATTCTTATAGTATTATCCAGTACAGCAGTCAGTTTATTAAAATATTTTAGTTCTTCTGAGGGAAAAAGATTGGTTTTTTATTAATATTAGAATTCTTCAGTAATATAAGTATTTCAGTCTTATAAATATTGATTCATATTCTCACTAAAATTTACTTTTACTTTTTCTTCTACAAATAAAGCTATTAGCCAATTAAATGCCAGTAGTGCAAATCTTTATAGGTCAGAAAGAATTTTGACAACTGCACCCATGTTAACACAGAGATACACACTTATTGTACATAACTAGGAATTCAAAACTACAGATCAGCACATTTGGGACTCCTATTTTGATATAGAAACAGAGTGTGGAGATACTTTCTCTATCCTCTTGCTTTACAGGGCTGGCTTCATGAAATGTTGACTTGTTATGATGCTCTTTTCCACCTGATTTCAAGTACTGGGTCTGTGCTGGCTTAACTCTTTTAAGCAAAGTGCAAACTCTTTGCTAAGGTTTAGCTTATTTACACATACTGTAAAAATAAAACATTAAAAGTCACTTTATAATGGTACATCCATGTCAAAATCCAATTTTTCTTCTCATGCAAGTAGTTTGTGTTGATAAATTAGTTACACTTTAAGGTAAATATCTAAAACAAATGTTCCTCTTTTTTATTATACTGTAAATCAATAAATTAGAGGTTGATTTACTTCTACACAATAAGAGGCATGTTTACAGTTAATTGAACATTATTTTCTGTGTTTAAGATTAGACTCCTATTTCATTAAAAAGTTTGTGGGAGCGATAGTTTTGTTAATGAAGTGTGTACTCTGGGGAAATGATATATAAATGACTAGTTTTTAATGGTGCAGCATTGAGTACTACATCAATTTAGTGTGACACCCTCTGTGGTGTTCCAGAAAGACATGAAATAGGAAGTGGTAATAGCAGGCGTAATCACATGACTGAAAAAATGAAATGATGACTCATTTTAGAAAATCTGGGGAATGGTAAATTTAATATCTGATTGTGTTTTATGAGACTAATTTTAACTTGTGCTATACTCAATTTAAATCTTTGTCTTTAAATAAGTATTGTAATCTGTTGTCATTGGAAATTAAACTTGTATTGATTAAAATTTTTCTAGTTGTAACTTATGAGCTTATTTTGGTTATCTTTTTAGCACAGTAAATACTATCCTGAAGAGATTGGTACAATCTACTGCCTCCCAGGAGGTGTTGGCCTGGTTTGGAAGGAACAAAACCCCCCCAAACGAACAAACTGACAAGGAGAGAGCCCTTACTAGCAAACTCAAGTCTCCCTCCTTCCCCCTACCTTGTGGAAGTACCTTTGTCTAAATCGTTGTTCTCTATCCATCTGTAAAGTTGCCTGTTCTTTCATAGATAAAATCCTTTTCTCTTGTCCATTCTGAATTGCAGTCTGTTTATTTCAGGCTACATCTGCAGGTTTTTTTCAGTAATTCTGAAATCTAATCCTCTTTAAAGTATTTCAATCCCCTGAGGCTTGGTAATATGTTTGACTGGCTATAGATCAGGTCTATCAAATTTATCTTTCATTAATGAAAAGGCTGAATGGTATAAAAGCAGTCTAAATAAGCCCAAAGTGCAGAACACTAACGTGAATTTCTGTGTGATGAACTCAGTAAAATACAATTTTGTTAGTGTACCTTTAAAAACTGATTTCTGAGCATGTACTTCCAGAAGGTGTATGGGCACTGTTATTCCTGAGCTTCTTATGAGACTGTTCAGAGAAATATGATTTGAGAAATGCAGCATCTTTTATTTTTAAAAGGTGTGTTTTCAATTTAATTCATTTTTGAAAGGCTTATATATGCCTCCTACGTTTTCAAACATCTTTGCACTTTGTTCTAGAAGCATTTACCAAGCTGCTGTATTCTCTTTGTATTCAGTGCTATCAAATATATCTTTATTTAGCACATTGTTTTCATGAAGGCAACCAGCAAAAAATTGGGTAACAACTAGCTCATAAACTTTGAATTCCAGTTGTTGTGGTGAATGCTGTTTTGTCCTTTCCAGTTCTCCTTTTCCTCTCGTCTGTTTACATTAATCTCCATATAGCTTACTGTTTGGTTTATTTATTATTTGTGTAGTTTATAATATATGGCCAATGATTGATCTCAAACTTACAATACAGAAAAATAACAAGAACAACCAGAATAGGAACAAATGCAGAAAGAATTGAGTAGTATGTATTTTGTCTTGTGTTGGAGTTCTTTACCATTGCAGAGGGAGCGATTCTCTGGGCTAACAGGACTTTCCTTAATAGTCAAGAAGATCTTTTATTCTGTTAATGTTTAATAAAAATTTGATTTAATATTGCTATATGTTCTTTGATAAAGTTTCATACTGCATATATTTAGAGAATATTTGTGTTTTGCTATGATGATTCCAGGTGTTAACATCTGACCTGGAAAACAGGGAGAAGCAGCAAGAAAAAATGTTGGACCAGCTAAAGGAGATACAGAATTGCTACAAGGCTTGTGAGAGTGAACGCAGACAAACTGAACTCCAGTCTGCTGAGTTAGCTCAACAGGTTGAAGAGAGTACCAAGGAAGCAGAACGGTATCTCACTGAATTCAAGCATGCAGAGGCGCTCAGGCTGGAGGTTGAGAAAAAAAGAGAAGATTTGAAGGTGAGAGCCCAGGAAACCATCCGCCAGTGGAAGTTGAAGTGTAAAAAACTGGATCGTGAGGTAGAAAAGCAAAATCAAACTATAAGTGAATTGATGGACAAGAATAAACAGGTAAGATTGGTTGATTGGGTTTTTTTTGCTACCCTTTCCCTTTTAAAAATGAAGAAAAGGAGTTTATTTATGCAAACTGTGACTTAAACTGCTTTCTGCTTTAAGTTCTGGACTTCTGCTGTATAATTTTCAGAACTTTTTCTTTGAAAAATCAATTTGAAAATTGATTGTGTAACATTTCTGGGTTTTTTGTTTGTCTTTCTTCAGTATGGCAGACCACTTATTCCTCTCTTTTCCTTCTCTACAGTTTCTCAGAAAAAAACATAGGTTTTTTGGTTTTTGACTTAGAAGAATTCATTTATTCAGCTGCTGACACTGTTTTAAAGACAAGCATTCACGTCAATGCTAATGTTTATCATTCTGTATCGGAATAATGGTAGAAACCACCATTTTGTTGGCAATGAGTCTGTGGGTCTGTATTTTCCAGTTGGGTCAAAAGTTGCTTGTTTCTATAATGGCTGATATAGTGCTTAACTGTATGCTGTGAGCCTTTATCTTAACTTACATGCTATGCTGGTGCAGTCCACCACATTGTATGGCTTTTGTTTTACAGTGCTATACCCTCTTTTCACATATTTTCTCATGGCATCCATCAAATTTAAATTACTGCATGTGATGGGCTTGAGATGGTTCCATCCTCTGCTTTATCTTGCTCAAAGATTGAGGTTTTCAAGGGCTAAATGGAATGCAGTATGGGATGTGTGTTAATCCTGTGTTGTTTCTGGTCCAGTGATCTGTTCTGAGATTGGTACATGGATACAAGCATGGTCAAAGCACAGGAGAAGTCACAATGGGGCTGTTACAGAGTTGAAATTCTTAAACTCTAGCAAATCTAAACCATGATTCCTATTGTTGCTATTTCTCTCCTATTGCCTATCATATGCCTTACTTTTTATTATTATTTCCTCTATTCATGCTCCAACAATTCATTCTATAGTAATCTTGTATTTGTTAGCCTTAGGGCTTATCTGGGAAAGTAAGATTCTCAAACATTTAAGAAGTTGGTTACTCTTGCCTAAGAAAATGGAGGTTGTAATGAAAGGAAGAAAACCTAAATAATTTCAAAATCATGGGTGTCTATAAAATGGACAAATAAGAAGCAAAAATAGAGACAAATTGTGAATTGGAAGCAGTAGCTCCCAAAAGGTTTTGGAATCACTGTTCATGTAAACACATAGGCTGGTCTTTGTAGAGGCACTTGATAGCACTGTCCACATTGAAAATGTCTTTGTTATGTAAGATTCCTTGATATGGATTTTACCTCTTTTTATGTGGCAAGTATATTCACATGCTAAATGCAGTGGTTAAAGTTTGGCTTAAGCTCCATTTAAGAAATGCTGTCAGTATTTGTTCTTACTTTTGAAGTCGTGACCATCCTGCCAACAAGTTTGATGTAATTGTCAGTGCTGAAGAATTTTCTTTATTTTAAGATATGGAAGATCAAATAAACTGTGTGCCATTGTGAAGGAGAAAAAAGAAACAATGTTTAATGTTCTTGATATAAAATTGGAAACAGTTTACTTATGGGGATATAATCAATCCAGATGCAGCATTTAGTATAAACTTAAGGTAGCTAGATGAACATAATTTAACTAGATTTGAAATACAGACAATTAACATCTGAGACAAAGATCTGTAAAAACAATATTGGAAGAAATAGCAGTTTGTTGTCTTCGATTTCTGTTAGAAGACTTCAAAAGATTGATGGAAAATTTTCAAAATTGGGTTGCAATCATAGCTTGCAATTTAGAGATTTTTGAAATATTGGCGGACAACACATGTGCTATAGAAAGATTGTTTAGGTTTCATTCTTTTGGAGTTATTGGGATAATTTGGTTGAAGTTTTGCCCATGTGGTTGTCCTTAATATTTTTTGACAGTGGCGTTTCTGACATATTTTGAAACATATGTTCTTTAAAGTATGTAGTGTAGAAAACATACTTAAAGCAAGCAACTTATGGGTTGTAGTTTGAAATTTTACTGAGTTTTGTTTTTGTTTGCCTTTTGGGTTTTTTAAGCCAAATCCTTCCAGTAGAATTACAAGATAGGTTTAGGAGGGTCTTAGGAGGGTCTTTTTGTTTGGTAGGTGTTTTTTCCTGGAAAACCCACAATATTCATCAGTCCATATCCTCAATTTATTTTGTATTTTGCTTTGTGTTGCTTATTCTTGATGTAATTGCAAATGGTTTTATTTTTAACTGCACACTTTTAACCCTAATTGCCTTTTTGTTTTGGAATGTTTCAAGTAATTTTGCTATATCCATAAGAACTGTCTGTTGCTTGTAGAATTGGTGATAATGCTTAGTAAAATTTAGTATAAAATTTATGAAGTCAGTTTAAGAATCTGATATATTGGAACAGATTGCCCAAATGGGTTGCATAGTTTCCTTCACTGAAGATATTCAAGAACCATCTGGATGCAACCCTGTGCCTGTGTTCTAGGATAAGTCTGCTTGAGTAGGGAGGTTGGACCTGATGACCCACTGCAGTCCTTTCAAGCTTATGCACTCTGTGATTCTGTGCTAATTTTAACATTAAATATATCAATGTTGCAAAAAACGCCCAGTCCCCGAAGATCCTAGCAAAACAGTGTAATTTTTATTACATTTGATTGTTTTTTATTTGGGAGATGATGTTGTTATTTCTTGGCTTTGATGCATAAATGAACCAAGCTTTTACCTACTGCTAATTCATCTACTGGGCATAATTTCAAAAATAAGTTACAGTTGGTATACTTTCTATGTAATATTTTGGAAAATAAACAAAATAAGTCAGCATATGGAATGGACTGTAGGTATTGCTGTATATGTCCAGTAATCATCCCTGTATGCTGCTGCATTACTCTATTACCTCATTTTTCTCCATCTTTTTTTCTGGAGGAACCAATAAAGAAACACATCTCAGTCTGCAAAGAGAGAGTATGAGAAGCAAAGAATTAATCAGAGCTATCCCTATTTAGAAGGCGTGTAATTTAAGGACGAGTCCAAGTTTGAGATTGCACATGATCTAAAGTGTGTAAATTTAAAGAAACACTGAGTACATTGAACTAACTGTATTTGTAACAAGCAAAAATTTTATATTTTCACATACATATGTTAATTGTTAATTGTTCCATTATCTAAGGACATCCTTCCAACAATTGTCTTTAATTACTTTAGATTAGATGGATTCTTTTTTTCTTTCCTAGGCCCTTAAAGAAAAAGATGATCTCAAAAGTCAGCTTCTCTCAGCCATAAACCAGATAGAAAACCTGCGGAAAGAGCTGAATGATGTGCTTACAAAGAGAGCCCAGCAGGAAGAACTCCTCCACTGTAAAGAGGTAAAACTGAATGAAATGGAGTCACACCAGGTATCTCTTGAAGAAGAGATAAAAGAAGTTCAAGGTACTGCAAAAAAATTGGAGAATGAGTTGAAAAAGCAAGTCTTTCTACAAAATCAAATGGAAGCTGAGAAGGAACACTTGAAGACAGAACTTGCATCTATTAACTTGTTTCATAAAAAAGACCAAGAACGACTCCTAGAAATGCAAGTAGATGTAAAAAATTTAAGTGCCATACGTGTGGAACTAACAAACAGAATTGCAGAAGAGGAGAAAGCCAAAAAGGAATTACTTAAGAGCCTCTCAGACCTCCAGAAACAGCAGGAATCTAGTCATGAAGAGATGATTTCAGCTAACAGGCAGCTGAAGATGGAAAGAGAAACTCACCAACAGGAGTTGGCAGATCTTAGATCAGAGTTACAAAATGTGAAAATCAAACATGAACAAAATGTTCAAGAACTCACGAAACTCCTTAAACAAGAAAAAGATGATGCAGAGGCTCAGATTAGAATGCTAAAGGTACTTATTGTGAAGAATTCCAATGTCAGATTTTCCCCCTTCTCCCACACACCCCACACACAGCCCCTGCCATTGAATGATGAAGGTAATAAAGCATGGGCTTTAAAGCACTTAACGCACATGTTATTGCAGGCCATTGTAAAAGTTTAAGTTTCAGGGTAAAAGTGTTATAGTACCAATCTAAGATCAAAATCTTAGTTTAAAAATAGTAAAATAGGTATGATCAAAATAGAATGAAATGTATGATGCTGTAATGTAATGCAGGTGAAGTCCCAGGTCACTGGCAAGGGGGAAGCATTGTACCATACAGTCACCCCAGGGCACCATCTTTTAAAAGGATAGAAAGGAGGTCTGTGGGAGCTACTGACCTGTCAGCCTTCTCTCTTCCTGGGAAGATCATGGAACAAACCTTTTAGAAGCTACATTAAGCCGCAGGAGGACAGAGAGGTGATTTGGCATGGCCAGCACAGCTTCACCAAGGGCAAGTCCTGTCTGACCAACCCAGTGGCCTTCTCTGATGGAGTGACTACATCAGGAGAACAAGGGAAGGGCTACAGATGTCATTTATCTGGACTTCTGTAAAGTGTTTGACACAGTGTCCCACAACATCTTTCTCTCTAAATTGGAGAGAGATGGATTTGATGGGTGGACTGTTAGATAATAAATTGGCTGAATGGTCACATTCAGAGCATTGTGATCAATGGCTCAGAGTCCAGATGAAGTCCTGATGTACAGCAATGATGAGTGGTGTCTCTCAGGGATCTGCACTGGGACTAGTATTTAATTATGTAATGTATCATTCTTGACTTGATAATAATTCTTAAGCAGTTGCTAACATAGAAACTTCTAAGTGAAGATAGCAATTAAAAAAACCCTAGGTGGTTGCTAGTAGAAGGATCATTAAAATCAAATATTTTGACAGTAGTGCTTAACATTGGAGACTTAATTTTTAGTGTGTATATCATTATTTAAGTGGTCTGTCCAAAAGTGGTTTTTCTTTGGAAATGACATTGAAATTAAGAGTGTACATTTGATATTAAGTGGAGAGAAGGAAAGTGTATTCTGGATGCTAATAAGAAAAAATAAGTTGATCGTGACTGTGTTTTTCTATGAAACAGCAAATCCTACAGTTAGGACCTTTTATTTTTACTGATTGTTGAACCTAGACAGAATATTAAAAAAAAAAATTAATTTACAATTCCTTGATTTCCCCAGAATCCTAAATCAACATATATTTTTTAAGAGCAGAAGGTTTGAGGGAGATGGATTTTCTAAGATATTAGGGTAGACAAATTTTTTAGAAGTATGCAAAATGAGAATGCACGAGATTCTCTTGATTGTGAGACAGTAAGTGAAACAAAATAGAAAATCACATGCATCTCTAGGAAGATCTGATGAGAACATGTCATCCTGCAGATGTTTTGGTTACTTTTTGTCTGAACTCATCATTACATTGCATTTGGATTTCAATTTTATGGACATACTTTTCTTCTAATGTAAGGTAAATTTAACATGCATTTTATCTTTTTTTTTCTTTTTTTTTTTTTTTAAGTATTTGGTGTTAGAGTAGTGTTTAGGGAAATCCAACAGAAAAAAAAGTTGGGTTTTTTAACCTTTTTTTTTTTAGAAGCTGCTAAGATTTTGTGCCTAGCAACCAGCTGTCTTTTACTGTCACAGTAATAATTGACCTTATTTATGCCTCAGCTGTGTCCGACCTTTGTAACTGTTTTAGGAAAGGAATATACATATTTTGTCCAAAGGTAGTTAAAACTTTAAAAATAGAGCTTGGTTGAGAGACACTTGAGGACTAAAGAGAAATTTAATATATTTGTAGAATCCAAAGCCTTAAACTTAGAGGATGCATTTATGAGTTACTTCCAGGAAATCAAAGGTAGAGACTCCTGTGTTTAGTGAAGTAACTTCTGCATAGATTATAAAAAGAAGTGACTTTTGATTTTAGTTGTTCTTTCCTTGCTTGCCTCCTCTGTATGGTACTTTCTGCCCCACTTTTGCCTGGTTTTCTGTAGTGCAGGACTGGATTGAAAAATTATTAAGAAGTTAAGGATTTTTTGGGGTAGTAGGGAGGGTACCATAAGAATATTGTATGATGCAAGAGAACTGGAGAAGAACATCGAGTTTTTTGAGCTACCAGTGTTAAGAAGGATCTTACTATTTCATTACTGAGCTTCTGATGCTTAAACTTTTAATTTGGTTTCTGCTAGAACATCCTAAATGATTCCCAACCGATGCCGCAATAATGTCTTATTTGTTATTTAAAAGGATTGATACAGTAGGCATAGGAATTTAAGTGGTTTGCTTCGTGATCTCCATTTGGCTTTATGCTCAGAAACTCTGGACCTGTTGCCTAATTTAAATACATACCCTCATTTGCTTTAAAAACATGCTTGTTTTCTTAGAGTGATGACATACAAAATTTCCTGCTGCCTGACAGTTTGCAAGTCTTTGAAGTATAAATCTTTAATCTAAACTTATATAGAGATAAGTATATGTACATATTAAATTGTATATATGTGTATATTAATTTTAAGTTGTTTTCTATACATTTTCCAATTGTGCCATCTATTTTTTCCTGAAGATTATTAAGTGTTGAAAGTGGATTTAATAAAGATCAATTCAATTATAGTCATATCTACCTTGTCCATACTGGAAATTAATAAGTATTAACTTTCTCTTCAGTATCTCAAGGGTAATATAGGTATTTTTTTCTTGGATTGTCACCAGCTGCATAGATATTATAATGCAATTACCTTTAGTAGGAACTGAAAAGTTGATTTCTATAATTATATTCACATAAAATGTTTTGGGCATTGCAGGCTTGTCTTTATGATCTTTAGTCTTTGTAGACTGTAGATACCAAAGATTTTTCTCAAATTGTCCTTTGGAAGAGTTTTTGTTATCCGTTCAGTGTCTAAATTAATGTCTAGATATAGTGTCAAAATTAATTAATGAAACTTCTCTCCTTACCCTTCTTCCTCATAGAAGCTAGATTTATAGTGTAGTTGGGAAATAGAATTTTTGCTTTTTCTCAGAAAAAAATTTACTTCACAAGTTTATTTTTGTGTTTAACTGCATCCCACGCTTTATCTAATAAGAAACTGGTTTTGAGGAATGTGTGTGTTAATTTGCTTTTTTGTTGCATTTTTTTAAAGTTTTCTAGATATTGTAGAGCATTTCTCAAATCTTTAATTTTCAGTCAATTATTTTTTTTCACTGGAAACAAATATACATTATTTACTTATTGTTTTGGTGCTTTCTAGATCCTTACATGCTTTCTTCATTTTTCTCTGCAAAGTTTCATCAGTAGCATTAATCGTACAAAGTAAGAGCACTAAACCCACACAAATCTAGAACTTAAAAATTCTAAATCTTTGCTGTTGTTTCCTTGCAGATATAAATTTAGCATTTGTTCCTGAAATTAAATGTGTTTTAGACTTTCTGATTCCAAATTATTTTAGTAATGGAAAAGCTGCATAAATACTAGGCTTCTCAGGATGATGTAAGCTGATGAATGTAGCAGAGCTGAAATGAAGAGCCCGAGACTTCTGTTTTCTGCTTTAAAACATTGTGTGTCTGTGATGCATGTTTTCCATGTTCAGATAAGTAATTGCACTTAGTAGAACTTAATTTTTTTTATTTATCATTTGGCAAAAGTGTTCCACTGATATAAAACTTTAGAGTTTAGGTGTTTTTTAAAATAACCCATACAGTGGCTTTGTATTCTTTTTTTCCCTTTACCATCAGATAGAACTTTTAGAAGAGAAAAACATAACTAAGGCTCAGGGTCGACAACTGGAAAAAATAAAAGTTGAGAGTGATAAATTGACAGAAGAATTAATCCAAAATGAGGAAGAAAATATAAAATTAAAACGGAAATGTGAGTTTGTAAAACAAGAACTGGAGAAAAAGGTAAAATTAACTGATTTTAACCATGATTTGTTTCTCTGCTGATAAATACCTAAATAAATGATGGATTATAGGAATAGATGGTAAACCTAAAAAAAACCCAGCATGAATGTATTAAAGAATGTACGCAGTCATGCCATAGTTCATGGTTTCTTTATGAATGAAAGAAGACAAAAAGGCTTTGGCTGGATTATGAATTATATCCCTCCAGAGATTTGTTAATATTATTTAGGACTATAAATACAAATCCTGTTGCTTGCCTGATCTCTAATATAGGTAACTAAGAAATGTTTAATCAGCCACTTTCAGCCACTTCTAGTTTTCTTCATATATTTCTTCAAGATGTAGTGGAGCTATGAATAATTTAGAGATAATTTGAAGTAGACGTGCAATGTAAGCATAGTAAAAGAAATTCTAATTAATGTTGAGATGGAGGATTTTTGGTGTTTTGGAGTTTTCTTTTATAGTATAGAGTTAGAAAAATGTTAAATCTGGCATTTCTTTAGTTTGCTAAACTATCAGGAAGTGGTTTTAAAGCTTAGCTTGTCACACTAGTAAAAAGTACTTGAAATGAAAATTCAAAAATGTGGGTTTTTTATGTTGGCATTTTAGTTGTGTAATACCTATTATTAAGAATATGTGTTTATAGGAATGTACATGGGCGTCTGTTGTGTATTAGCTCCAAATTTACCTAATATTGGGGAGACATTCTTTTTACATCAAAATCATCTTTTGTGTCTAAATTTAAAAAGATTAGAGAAGGTTTTAAGCATGCAATCCTGTGATCTCAACTTTTGAAGGTAAAGGCAGATGGAGACTTCTATATAGCTTGCATTAATGGTTAAGAGAATATTTGCTATTTTGGTTTTGTGGATTGTCGAAAGGGATGTTAGGATGGGGGAAATAATACTTACTACCTCTTGATAAATCTCATACTAGCATACAATTGTAGCAGCACAGCCGAAGCTTGTTACAGAGTACTTTCTTTTTTTTTTTTTCCCCATGCTTTTAACACTTTTAATATTCTGTTCTTAAGGCAAATACTAATTCAAAGGGGCATAAGTATTACAGCTAGCTTAGATTGTTTTTTTTTTTTTTTTTCATGAAAGGTGAAGGAACAGAGCATAATGGTAAAATGGTTGGTTTCTTTCCTTTCTCTTCTGTGCACTTCTGAGTCATTAGTGACTTCTTTTCTCCCGTAGGCTCTGGATGTAGAATGATAAGGAATGTTGGCACATTCAGAAAATCAAGAAGATAAGAAATAAAAAAATAAAGTTATGTGTTCTGTTTTAGTCATGGTCTGTGGGAATGAACTTTGACATGTGATAGACTGCATTCACTGAATAGTGAGACAATATAGATACTGGAAATGTATACAGTGCAATCTTACTGCTTTCAGAATACTAGTCTAGGTCAAAACTCTTATTTCAACTCCCATATTTCAAATCCCATCTTTATAGTACAGAAATACTGGAACCTGTCCATCTTAAAAAATCTTACAATTTCTTCAGTTTGAAATAATTTCTTTCCCAAGTATTTTTGTATTAAGTGAAAAAATCAGACTGCTTATCAAGTATTGATGTTTCACATTTGTTGGCCACCTACATTAAAAATACCTGTTTTGCTAGTAGAAATAAACACCTATAAATAGAACCTCCAGAAAGGAGGTAGCAAGGTGGATGTTGATCTTGTCTCCCAATTAGCAAGTGATAGGACAAGATCAAATAGCTTTAAGCTGTGTCTGGGGAGATTTAGATTGGATATTAGGAAAACTTTATTCATGCATTGGAACAGGCTGCTTGGGGAAGTGGTTGAGTCACCTCTCCTTTAACTTGGTTGTTAGACATTACCTAACTCCGCACTGGTGTCTCATAAGAGCAGTGTATGAAGATCTCCAGCAAATAGACTTCAAACAGTTATACCTTGTCATTTTGGAGGTCCACAATTAATAAATTTTTGAAGTCCTTGCTGTTCTTACTGTTCTTGGTGCAATTTGCACACATTGGAATTTGCGTGTTAAAGTGTTTGCCCTTTGCTGCATTACATCCTCCTGTTCTCAGCAGCAGACGTGTGTTTCAATTTCATTAATTCTCACAGTATAGGTTTTTCTATATTATTAATGATCAATATTTTGTGTAACCTAGCAGCAGTTTTGTTTGGTTTTATGGTAGTTCTATCATGGGTATAAAAGAAGAGAATCTGAGTTTTAAAAACATATGTAACATATTTAATTAACTTTCTGACATTAGATGATAATATAAAATACTTTCTTCAGTGCCACTCACTCTCCTGTGAGATATTCTTTGGGTAGTTTTCCTTTGAGGGCACACTGACTGCCAATAAAATTTTCCTTCTGAAGTCTCTTTTCTGACGATAGAGATTAGATGCCTAGAACAGATTCAGGGCAAAAGATAATAATGGGAGTATTTACACTGGGCTCTTTTTCTACTCATGAGGAGATTTGTAATAGAACACCTATTTTTGACTTTGAAAATAGGCTTTATGATTGTTGAATTTGGATTTGGTAGCAGTTTGGATTTGGTAGCAGTTTCTTTATTACTGATTTACTGGATAATAAGGAGAATCAAGGGAGGAACTTACAAGTGCTATTAGAAGGTATTATTTTTCTATGTCAAGGAGTTGAACTTAGCATGACTGAGTATGGTCTGATTATGAGATTGAATGATACATGGCTGATGACATATGTTATTAATGCAATTTTTTTTTTGTTTGTTTTTCCTTTTTCACTTTAGGAAAAACAGATCAGCAATGAAGAAGATCATTTGAGAAAGATGAGTGAGGCCAGACTGCAGTTTAAAGATCAGCTGCGTCAATTAGAAATGGAACAGCAATCCATTCTCTCCACGATAGGAAGTGAAATTGATGCTGCCTGTGAAATCTTTTCTCGAGACTCCATGGAGAAATTAAAAGTAATTCTAAGTTTTAAGTATGCTGCAGGTTTTGTTCTTTTCTTGATGAACTTTTGTAGTGGAACTTGTATGCATTGTTTTCACTGTTGCATAGATAATCATTCTAATAGAATTATGGCTTTTTAGCTGGTACAGAGAGACATTGCTGTGTATTACAATGGGATACTATGAAGGAGTGTCCATGCATTAATTGAGTCTGCTTTCTTTTTTTTCATTTTTTGAGGAATAGTTCTCCTTTTGCTTGTGTGAAAGGACCTTTTATTAGCCAAAATTTTGAGATATGTTTTCTAAGGCCATGTTCCTAGAATTGGGAAATCTTAAGAAGGACCTAAAATGCTTTTAAAAGTAGGAGAAAATGGAAGAAATTTTTTGTTAAAAATCACTTAGGTGCTTTGTTTTTTATGTAGAGAACTGAATACTGAAAATGAAAAGAGTTTATAACCTCCTCTTTTGAGGAGCAGGTCCTTGTATTCAGAAAACTCAGACTCAAATTTTCAGGAAACTGGTAGCTTGCTGTAACTTTTTTTTGCTATTTTACTATTTCTTCCACAACGCATTTCCCTGTAGCTTTTCTTCTGATCATTCTCATTTGCTTGCCAGGTACAGAAACCACTCTTCCCCCTCCATATGATTCTACAAGACTGAGCCTGTTAAATCAACATTGTACATTTCTGAGAATAAAGAGAATGGACTGTCTGACTCAGCTTGTCGCCACACTTACAAGTGCTTGACCTAGTGGCTTTTTAGCCTTAGCTGCAACCCAGAGTACACCTTTTTTTTTGTCTTGCTGTTTAAACAAAAAATACTTTGTAGCTCCTGGTCATTTGACTGGGCTGGGCTGTTTTTGAAATAGATTTTTTTCCACAATTGACACCATTTCTCCACTTACACGTGGAGTTGGGGTGTTGCAGCACAAAACTAGATGAGAATTCTAAGAAAATGTGTTTGACAAACAAGCTTCCTTCTTTGTATCCTTACAGATAGGTCTTTTTTAAAATTAACATCTATAATCTGCTGTAGTTGCCAGATTTTTGATCGAGCTATGCCTTCTTGAACTTGTTCCTCACCTTGTGGAGATGTTTTGGTTTCTGTATAACGTTTTGTAGATCCCTGTTTATACAATTCTCCTTGGTTTTTATCATTGGCCAACTTAAACCAGTTCTGAATGTGATTTTTTGACTAGACAGTTAATGTGAAAAAAAAGTTAGTTTTGTGGTTCTGGTATAATTTTTTTTTTTAAAGGTAAGAATCTTCCTTTATGATATTGTTCCTATGCCCAGTACTTCAGGTATTGTTAAGGTTTCTAAAAAGTTTCACCCTTTACTTCAAGAAGTTGCCACAGCAACTTGGGTAAGTAGGACGAATTTGATGGATAAATATTTGTATTGACAGAAGTCAAGCACTAGGCTTAATCTTCCTTGATAAGAAATTTATTTCTCTGATTAATTTCCAGTAAGCAGAAAAGACTTTCTTCCTCCTATGCCTAATGCTCATTTTATGTTTGTTTCTTTATCACCCACTTTTTCATAGGCAATATCCCTTACACCAACAGTACTGAATGATCCTCATCGCTGGTTAGCAGAAACAAAGGTAATAGTCAGACCTCCTGAAGTTTTACTGAGTAAGCTAATATTCAGCATTTGATGGTGTAGTGGGAGATGTCCCTGCTCATGTCAGGGGTTTGGAACTGGATGATCCCTAAGGTCCTTTTCAGCCCTAGTTGAGTGAGAAGGTGAGTCTGTGAATAAATGGATCTGATTTAGTTGAACATCCATTTACAATGGCACTTAAAGGGTAAAAGGAAAAATACAAAAGCATTCCTTTGGCAGTTTTTAGTTATTAGATATTTCCAGACTGTTATTTCAACTGCTAGAATATGCTTCTATCAGTAAGAAATAACCATCACTATACCAAAATAAATAACAATATTATTTTCACAGAAAAAAAGGCATTGAAGTAAAAGCAGTGATAGCCTTTAGATCTGGTTCAAGTTTTTTCAGAAAAGTAAAGCATAAGAATGTTGTCAGCAGGTTAAGTTTCTCTTACAGCATTATCACAAGGCTAGATATTACTTTAAATCTTTATATAAGGCTGATATTTATTCAATCTAAAATATATTAGATAGGATTCTTGGAAAATAAATTATTTTTTCTTTTCCCGTTGAAGCTTTCAAATTCTATAATGTGGGGGCACACTTGTTTGAGAACATCTTCAAGGTGATGACTGTAACTCATAAATCTTGCCTGTCATTTTGCAGCTTTCCTTCAGTTCCCTAGCTCACACATAGAACACACTTCTTATTCAGTATCTTTTAAAAGAAATAAATTTCTCATGATCAAAATAGACTGCAAACTGTGGAAGACAACTGGTGGTTTTGTGTCATGTGGAAGGGTCAAAGCCACAGGAGAATTGACTTAAGGAAAAAAATTGCAAATGTTTGCATATAAGAGAAGGTTATTCATGGTGTGTGGTCTGTGTAAGACTTGTAGACCAAGAAATACTTCCTCTATAGATAAAAGAGGTAAGGTTGGAATCAAAGGAGAAATGTTATGGAGGAAGTATTTTCTTCATTTGAAAAAGTGACACTGACATATTAAAAAGAACTTTCAAAGAGCATCTAATAATATGTTGCAAGCCTAAGTTTGTTTAGCTGCTAGAGGGAAGTTTAGAATTAATAACTGCTTAAAATGCCACTTTTATTTTCTTTTTTATTAAATAGACTGTGTGAAAGCGTCCATATCGTATTCCATTTCATAATTTCTAGATTTACTAAATTGATCACAACCTTATCAATGAGATCTTTTTCTCCTCTGAGTGACCCTTAAATATTGACTTTTGCTGACTAGAAAGGATTGATGTCACTGTTTTAGAAAGGGGAAATATTTTTAAATTCTGCCAACATAAAATAGAGAGGAAAAAGGTATTCTGAAAGGAAGGCCTATCTCTTGGTGTCTATGTGTGAACTAATTAAATGTGAATTTCCATATCTACCCTAGCAAATTCATGCTTCTGATTTTAAATAAATAAAATAATATTAACGAAAATCACTTTTCACATACAATTATCAACAAAAATATGTCTTTTTGGTCTCTTGAAAATCAACTTACCTTCTCTCTTAATGTATCTGAATGCCCTGTTATTATTATTTTTCAGATAGTTACAAATGAATAATCTGTGGCTTCAAAGATACTTTGGTCAGTGAACATTTATGTCCTCTTATTTTTATTAGAATTCTTTACTTTTTATGTACCTTTTGTTTTAAATGTAGACTAAGCTTCAGTGGCTGTGTGAGGAGGTAAAGGAAAGAGAAAGTAAGGAAAAAAAGCTGCGATGCTACTTGCTGCAGAGCCGAGAACAGCTCAAGCACTTGACACAGATAAAGGAGACTGAACATCAGTCTCTCTTTAAGCAGATAAAAAGCCAAGAAAAACTTCTGGAAGAAGTTCACAGAGAAAAAAGAGGTATGTTACTGATTCAATTTTTGTTAATAAAAGGGATAAAGAATTTTAAAATTATATCAATTATAATTTCTATGGCACATTAATTTTATCAACTAGTTATTTCAAGCTGCAATGGGCTAGTGCTAACCAACAATAATGTTTTGTTTGTGGTTTTTTGTTTTCCCTTGCTGACAAATAAGGCAAATGCAATCAGCCACGTTTCAAACCAACACAGTGGCTGAGTAACACATGAGTTTACATCATGCACAGTGGATATAGAAATTATTTCTCAGCTGTACCATCTGGGACATTGCACAACCTGGGCAAAAAGGGATTATACAAGAGTCTGAGGCAGTCTGAGTTAGACTGCTATTGCACAGCTCACTGTGTCATGGTATAATTTTTCATTGTATTCTGTTCCCTCTGTTCTGGGAGAAAGGTGTCACCTTTTAGATTTTCTTCAGAAATCTTGTTCCAGCCTTTATTCAGGACTCCATACTGATACAACTGGGCAGAATAAATATTCTCTTAAATTATTTTGGTCATTGTCACTTTGTGCTGATTGATGTTGATTCAGATAAGAGTAAATTTTACTAAGTGTATTTACAGCTCCTAGTAGTTGATTTATTGAAAATGTTTTGTGAATTGCAGCAAAAACCAAAACTGCTTCGTTTTGGCAAGAGCAAAGTTAATTCTCTTTGCAGTAACTGAAACATGCTGTGTTTTGGATTTAATATGGACAGTAATGTTGAAAACACACTCATGATTTAGTTGTTACACCCTAAGTCAAGGACTTTTCAGTTTTCCATGCTCTAATGGTGAGATGGTCCTCAAGTAGCTGCAAGAGAGCATGGCCAGACCAGGGGAACTGACAAAGGGATATTCCATGTATTAGAATATTATTCCCAGTGCACAAACATAGGAGAGTTGTTTGGGAGGAGCCAATCACAGCTGGAGAAGGGGCTGGACATTGTTTGGTGGTGAGCAGTGGTACTGTACGTCACTTGGGTTTTTTTTTTACTTTATTTCTATCTTTTTTGACATGTGCATGTAATGACAGTGCATGTGACAATGTGTGCAAGAATAATGGATTTACAATCTCCATGTGAATTTAATTGGTTTGTTTTACAGTCATGTCAACTTAGATTTTTCTTTTTCATTTGAAAATTATGACTTTATTATATCAAATCAGTTATTTTTAGAAGTTGTAGAAGGTAGAGAGATAATAAAATGTATATTTGTTAATCTGAGTTTTGAGTACTCTCATTCACCAAGGGATACATTTAAATGTTTAAAAAGGGTTTTTTATTAAAAAAAGGGTGCAAGACAAAGTCTGACTGTTTTTGTATCTTGAACAAATACTTTTGCATACTAAGTGAAAAGCCCAATCTTCATTATGATGCTAGTAATACAAGAATGTAAATATGTAAATAGTTTAATGGATGAATGACTTGAACATGAAAATTAGAAAAGCTACTTTCCCAGAGGGAAAAAAGAAAACACAGCTAAAAGCATAAAAAAGTGTTAAGCCAAAAGGAGAAGGCAATCCATCAAAATGATAAAAAATTTAAATTAAGGATACAGAATGCTGGTTGGCTTTTCTTACTTAAACATAAAAAATGGAAGTATTGACACAATACTAAGGCACCTAGTAATGAAATTATGGGCAAGTCCTAGGTGCAGGAATAAAGCAAATGAAGGCAGAATGTATTTAATTGATAAAAAAGCCCTTCTTTTTTTTTTTTTTTTAATGCCACAGTATCCTTTAAGGTATTGCTAAATAAAATAGGTATTTAGTCAAATTTGATCAAATGGATGAAAATATTTCTGCTGGAATGATGTAGATTTTAGGTGGAACTTTTTATCAGATTTTGTGAATAACAATGAATATCCATCAATGTGGATGACTGTTCCCGCTGACACAAACTACTTGTCTGAGTACCTGATATAGTCTGAAAATTCTCTGTTAATTTAAGTTCACATAAATCAAAACTTATGAAAATGAGACAGAGAAATTGTATTCTTAATAAATTAACTTATTAATTTACTTTCTGTGGATCTGATAATGTAGTTTACTCATGGGGTTTTTTGAGGAGAAAGAATAAAAATAGAGATTTATGGTGTACATATCAAAAGTAGGTGGCATAAATATTTAAATTGCTTTGTCGATGAACATGTTTAAAGAAGTTTTATTAGCTTAAATAGGTTCTACTAAAGCTTTTAACTATATATTTTTTTGTCTTTCCCCTTTACCAAAGTATTTGTACGTACCTAGGATATTGTAGGCTTTTGAAACCTCCTTATGAATCTATGTAGAAGTGTAAACATTATCACAGTGGTACCTGTGGTGCTGTGAACTGGCTGTCCCTGTGGTATAAACCTGACAAATACAAGTAGAGCTTCATCCATGAAGAGAATGGAGAATAGAGAATGAAGTAAAATACAGTTGTGAAGCGCCAGGATTGTTTACAGAGTAGGAGGTTTCATACTTATCTGGTGGTGCTTCTAGATCAGCTATGTTTGTCTTCCATGTTTCATAAGAGTATCATGATGGAGAGTTTAGAAATTCAGAAGTCTAGCAATATTTATAAATACAGAAGAACTGAAGAGGATGTGACATCTGATTTCAGGTTTGCAGATTGGTACTTTGGATGCAGTTCACTACTTAGCAAGGTATTTATCTAGCATGCTACACAATGGGATATTTCATTATCCCATTTGGATTCCATGTTTCATCTTGGACTGATTTTGGTCTTACAATCAAATTTATTGTACTAGGTATCCAATTATGTTAATAAAATAGACAAAGGTGTGAGGAAATAAAATGCATAAGTTCCGGTTTCTTAACTAAGAATTTATTTTGCATTCTGGAATTGCTGAGCATGCCATGGTGTTCTTAAGAACAATTTAAAAATCAGTTTGGGTAACAAGAATTTTATTGTTATTATTTTTGAATGCCATTGTCAGCATTATACCCAAGATCTGGCACAAATTTCTTTCATTTATTGCATTTCTATATGATCTAGCTAGACTGTGTAGTCTGAAAAGCTCATCATTCAAATCAGTGAAAGTCTGTATTTGATCCTGAGTGGACCCAATGGTTTTATAAACTCAGATTTACTTTAATTGCCTTTCTAAGAAAATCTTGGAATATACTGACATGTATATATAAGCTAGACATAATGTTATATAGTGGTGGGCATGAAGTCTGCACAGTTTTTCTTTCAGGATAATATACTGCTACTTCAGAGAAGACACAGAGAGTCAACAAATAACTATTTAGCAAAATAAGACCTGACATATTTAGCAAGACCATATCTGGTTTTTTTAATGAAACAAAGTTAGTATGGCTGTAGTGATGTAAGAAGAGGAGGTGCATTGCTTGCATTTACAAGACTGATTTATCTCAAAATACTCTGCAAATACTGCTTTACACAAAGTCCCAGGTGATGCAGGACATACTCTGTACCAATTCTCAGTGTCTACTGAAATAATGCATTGCAATCACATTTGAACTACTGCATAGTTGGAATTTCTTATATAGGTATAACATATATACCTATACTGCTAAGTAAAGCGAAGGTAACAGTTGTAGTCCTGAGCTGACTAATGTTAGATGCTCTTGTCACAAGCACAAAACTGTACTGGGCAAGTGTGTGGTGTTTTTCTTTATGAATTAAGTTTATCACTCATGCATTTATCATTGTGCATTGTCTTATATTTGAGGATACAAAAATCAAAGTTTGAAAGATTTACATTTTGACTAGTTTTAGTGATGGTGTCAACTCTATGAATCATAGTTGCCTCTAGCTTTGTCACTTTAAACAAGTAAAATTGACAAAGATTTTGGTAAGTCATTCCTGAAGCTTAATTTCTTTTTTTTGTGTTAGGTTCATTCAGGATTATCTGTTTTTCAACTGCTGTGGATAGCGTAAACTCAAAAGAGCCTGGTATATTAAAGTAGATTAAAAATATAGGTAAAATTTTGCTCTGACGAAACTAATCTTTTAAATTAAATTTCTGTTTTTTTCTATTTTAAAGTCAGGAAGTCCAATTTCTGTTTGAGTCGGGAACAGTAAAGCAGAAAGAGTAAAAATTTAAAATAAGAAGCAGTGTAGTACTGAGAGTAAATACACTGACACTGAGCAATCTCTGCTATTAAACTGAGGAAAAATATGAGATTGGGAACTAGTGAAAATCAAAACAGTATAAAATCTTTCTATTATGACCTATTATGTTTCATTTAATAGAAAAGTACATATGCTGTTTTGAAGACAACTTTAAGCCTGATTCTGCCCTTTCAGGTTTGATTCTTTCTTTTTTATTAAATTTATTTTTCTCATATATTGCATGATATTGCCCTTGTACGAACAAGAGTCCTTTCTGTGGCAACAAGAAATATCACAAGGTATTTTCAGGTCATCTTTTATTGAACAATGAATGGGAGCATCAACTAGAGAGAACGCTCTTTTAAACATACATACAGGAAGGAACCTGAAGGATTTCAGAGGAACTCTTCTTAGTACTTGGTTTTCATAGTGAGATTCAAAATGCATAAAGTTGAAATATCATTACTATTCAAATAATTTATTTATTATTAATAGTGTTCTTGCCCTTTAAATAATGCTTGGTTTTTTTAGTGTGATGGGGGAAGGAGGAGGGAGGACTTCTAAGTTATTTTAAACTTTGCCAAAATGAACCTGCGTTCAGAGTCTTAGAAGAATAGAAATAAGCCCAAATCATTTGGAAATCCTGTCGTGTGGAATTTTTTTAATTAAAAAACTGGAAATATCTGACTGGACATGCACTGCTGTAATTATTTAGTATTTTTCTGGAACCATTTTCATTTGACATTATCTTTTTATGCACTCATAAAAATATGGCTGCCATTGTAAAAAAGAGAAGGTAAGAGATGGGATCAAACTGTAGCTGTTTTTAAGACTTCCTTTGATTTCTTTTTTCTTTCTGAATCACATACTTTAGATGATTATCTGAAACTTATGTACAGTTTTTTGGTGTGG